ATGAAGAAACAACTAGAACACAGAAGTTGACGAGGGTTGACAGAACAAACAACTCATGATTGTGTTGCGGCTGACTACTAGTATCCACTAGCGCAGCTGTGTAGGTGGGGCATTGTGTTCATCGGCCTGAGGGAGTTGAAACGAGAAAAGTGTGGAGAAAAATGTTGATTGCCACCACCAGGACTGGAATCAGGGGCCCTCGCTTCTGGCTAACGGTGGTGTGGCACTAAGATAGGGTTAAGTTGTCATGCCAGCAGAGACTGTTCCACATAAAATGTTCTGTATTTGGGCGACAGTTACCTTTCTGTTCTTATCGGTGTGAATAGGACTCGCAACAAGATGTGGTACTTGGAGTTTGGTGCCGGGGAGATGTTTTCAGCAAGCTGCAAGGATCTGAATGAATTCCTCACCTTGACTGTGAGTCACTGTGCTGCTGCTGTTGCTGCTGCTGTTCTTGCTGCTGCTGCTGCTGCTGCTGCTGCTACTGCTGCTGCTAGGTATAGTTTCTTCTGTAATACACCTCTTCCTTTGCAAATTTACTAGTAGGCATGCTGTACAGATCGCAGAAATCACCTTGAAGTGTTTTAACTCCTCAGAACTTGGAAGTTGTGCACAAGTCCTTTCATATACAGTCGACCTACCCTTATAACGATAACCTCTATAACGATATTACCCTTATAACGATATTTTTCTGCCAAACCAAATCACTCCATTGACTTTTGTATACAACACCTTACCCTTATAACAATATTGCTATAACGATATTACCCCTATAACAATAATCGACATTTTCCATTTTATAACAATATCTAGCAGGGAATATGTAGAGCCCACTATCCAGGTAGGGCAAGCTTCACTTGATAAGTCGCTGGGACAGGACGAAATGCAACAGGGGCACCAGTGGGCACCTTGCTGTGTGCATAATGTGCATGTAAAATGATGTATGTCAGTTTTTTTATGCTATGAGGAGTGTAAAAAATGAACAAAATCCATGAATTATGAAGTATGTGTATGAAATGAACCAGTTACCCCTATAACAACATTACCCTTATAACAATATTTCTTGGTCTGATGCAAATATCGTTATAAGGGTAGGTCGACTGTACTGCATTACCCTGTTTCAGCAAAGAAGTGCCCACTGCCAGCAACTTTCCATGAAGGCGAATGGAACGCAAAAGTAGATTGAAGCAGGGCTGCAGTGCTGGTTGCCGTTCTGCCTGTGATGCCTGCGCTAGCTCGGAATTGCAACATCCCGCTAGGATCTACTGAGATTTGACTGTGTTGATAATGTGATGTGCATGGTTATAACAGTGTGAAGTTGACATGACTGGTGCATCACTTGTGTAAAAAAAATTAAAATTAATTCTGTTGCCATGCCTACAGTGTTCTCTATTCCTATCCTCTTATGCTGTCCGGTCACTTTCGCTGTGATTGCATGCAGGTGGATGGCAAGGTTGTGGACTTATCGCACTATTCCCTGGAAGGCATAGCTGTGCTCAATATACCTAGCATGTACGGTGGATCCAACCTCTGGGGAACGGACGACAGCAGAACGCAGCGCCGCAGAGGCTGGTCTGCATCTCGGGCGGTCAGCGTCGATGATGGCAGCCCTTCGACTGGATCGTCTAGATTCAGCCCGCAAGGTACACACTGCAATCTTGAAATATGCGCGTGTGAGTGTGCGGTGTACCATAACCCTCGAGTGAATTGAAACATGCAGCAAATGCTTATAACCAAAGCCGAATCTTGGCAAGAGGCTAAGAGCTAACCTGCAAAGAATGAATACCGGTCGTCACTGTATCGAGCATGGGGAGCAAACTGAAACGCAACGAGACAGCGTAGAGTGAGCTGTGGTGTAGCGTGAATGAAATCAGTGCGCGCAATTTGAAAATTATCTGATTTCACTCGCCAGTTTTTGGGATTTCTTCATCTTGGTCTCTTTGGAAAGCTACAGATGTCCACTTTACTAATACTGCCTCTTGTCCCACCGGCGCATTCTCCTCTTCTTGGGCAGCCATATCTATCCAATCACGTGTGTATGTGTGTGTGTGTGTGTGTGTGTGTGTGTGTGTGTGTGTGTGTGTGTGTGTGTGTGCGTGTGTGCGTGCGTGTGCATGCGTACACGTGCGGGTGGGTGCATGGCTGCGGTGTAAACATCGTCCGGTGTGTATGCACAGAGATCTGCGACCAGCTGCTGGAGATCGTCGGCCTGGAGAACTCGTTCCATGTAGGCCAGATCAAGGCTGGCCTGCGAGATCATGGACAACGCATTGCACAGGGCCATGAGATTGTCATTGAGTAAGTGTGTGTGTGTGTGTGTGTGTGTCACGGGTGTTTCAGCAGCACCACTTAAAAATATGGCGTCATTTCGCGCGGTTTGGCAGGATTGTGTTAGTTTCGGCGCGAGTTATCAATTTATCAGAGTGTACCTAATCGATTTTCTTATTCACTTAGGTTTTTCAGCGATATTTCGGTTTAGCAAAAGAGACAAACTATTTTTCATATTCTACGAGTGAACAAGAATTATTTGGACAAGAAGCACAATCATGTTGACAGGTTCTCTGCTGGCGAACAGACAGTTATATACTAGTTTGCTCACTTACCGGGGACTTCTTCTGTCAGTTTGGCTGTCCAGCTCGTGCCGACCTACTGTTCCTGCGACTTTCTCTTCCGTGGCACAGGCCGCAGTGCTATCGCCTCGTTTGTCGTCGTCAGGAGGTGCTGTGCTGCAACAGTTTGGAGGCGAAGCAGTTCTCGAGGAAGAGACTTGTACTTGAAGTTCAGAGAATTCAGTGAAGAGTGGAGACTCTCTGCACCTTGTTCTGCGAGGAGGCCCGATCCTACGCGGACTCGTTTCATCAGGGGAACTGTGTGTTCTTCTAATAGGTGCAACTTCGGCGTGATGTGGCCGAATTTCCTGGACACTACTTCCTTCCTGCAGAGGGCCAGGAATTTCTCGATGTCTTTTCGGAGTTGACCCAAGTCAGCGTCATCGACTGGTTTGCAGTGGCTGAACTTGGCTCGACACGTTGCGTAGCTGTTCATGAGAGCTACGTATCTATCTGCAATTTTAGTGGCCTCAGGACACAAGTCAGGACACCTTGTTTGGACTGACGAAAGATGTGCGGAGGTGATGGCAGTGACCACGGTGGGTTTCAAGGCTTCGTGGATGTGATTACCAACGAAAGCACCACCGTGGTATACCTGACGCTCAATGCCATGAAGCTGTAGGACTGGCTCCAGTGCCGCGACGCATGGGCCACAGAATTGCTCACAGCCGCTCAGTTTGTCTACTTGCTGCTGAAGTTGTGCTGACCGCTGCTGGTGATGGTCACGCTGCTGTATTGCTGTTTGGTACACTTCTTGCAAGTTGGCGACAACACCAAGCTCGTCCATGCCGCCTTGCTGCTGTACGTGCAATGCAACAAATCCAAGCTGTTCCTGAGTCGTAGTTAGCTGGTGGTTGAAATTCTGGACGAGCTGCTGTTCAGCAGTCAGTTCGCTATGTACATCGCACAGCTTCTTGTATGCAGCACCATCCGTGTCTAGTGCCTGGCTTCTTGCCACCAGTGCCAAGTCCAGTATTCGGAGCTCGCTCCGCAGAGCTTCGAACAGCCAGGGGTAGATTCCGAGATCCAAGTGTAAGACTGGAATGATGACGTTTGGGATTGACACAGGCAGAACAATTGGGGCGAATCACATTGTTATATTTCTTTGCCTGCGCCAGCTTTGAGCCTGCTGCTACATATTGGCTATGGTCGCTTGCTAGAGATGCTAGTGTGCGTGGTTCTCTCTCGGCCTCCTCTCTCGCATCACTCTCAAGCTCCATGCTCTTCTTCGTGCATAAACAATGGAGACATGGTCGGAGTCCAGATGAGCCAGACAATCCAAAGTTGACAGTCTGGAACTCATAGTCCCCGAATAAATAAATCTTCATTGTCTTGCCTTTCCAGGAAGTCTGCTGAAGCTGCTGAAGCTGGGGTCGGTATTGTCCCAATGCCGTCTCCAAGTTTGCAGGTGTGTCTTTGCCGTTGAAGATGCAGAACGGTATTATGTTTGTGAGTGAATTCGGATGCTCGGTGTTGACGATCTGAAAGCTTAGCTTGAACGATCCACCTCCGTGATCTCCGCCAATCTTAATCCAAATCTCTGACTCAGGAATAGCTCCACCATGCCATGTTAGTCGGCTACTGTCCTGCAGCTGGTCCAGAAAGAATATGACAATATCCACCAAATTAGGGAAGAGCACAGTTGCTATCATCGTAACTCCGCCATCCTTGTCTGTCATAGGGAGCTCTTTGGCGGTGTATGAACGCAGCTTCGAAGCTATAAATGTGCGGACTGTCTTCTCAGATTCCATTTCAACGCCAAATTCTTGTAGCCAGCGACGTAGCTTCCGCAACTGACTCCACGGGAGGCTGAGGTCTGCCTTTATAGCCAGTGCACTGCCGGGTGACGGCTTCTTGGCCTTGATGCCAGCATCTAACAGAAGCTGCTCCTGTTCAGCAGCAGACAATCTCTGCAAGCCAGCCACCTCTTGTGCTCTGGCTCCAGCCATACCACCGCACACTGTCTCAGCATGTCTCGTCAACTCTGAGGATCTGCGGCGCAAAGTTGTGTCAGCAGCTCGGTCAGACGGCACATTACTCACAACAGCCCGTTGATAGACCTGTGGCTTGCCATGTGATGCTGTCCTTACCTCCAACCGCCCGTCATGCACCCTTGCTGCCACCAGGTGACCTGTTTAGTGTTAGACGGTCAGCTACATTGCCGCACAACTTGGACGGTGATGCGGACAGCACGTCCTCGACAGTCGAGCTTTGTCTAACGGTGCGGATTGGAGCTGTCGTCGTGGCTGGATTAAACTGGCATGCTGCAACATGCTTTCGCAGATCTCTCAGCGGAGTAACCACCGGGCAGCCTTGCAGAGATGGCTTGTGGAAGTCACACCGGAGTGTCCAACCATCCATCATCCTGCGTGGAACCTTTCCTGGCGTCTTTAGCTCAGATGCCTTCAAACAGTTGGCACATGCAGGACATTGCTTGTGCGTTGCTAACCATTCACACATGCAGTCTGCACAAAAGTACTCTTCGCAGCATGGTACTTCTACTACGTTGTCCACGATGTTACTGCATATGTTGCACTGCTGTACTGTGTGTGTGCGTTAATGAACCGCTCTTTGTTCAGTGGAATCGTTGCCGTGTGTTGGCTGCTGCCTGTTGCATATACTGTCTCTCTTGGCACATCCAAACCACATTCCAGTTGTGTTGCTGATGCTTGTGAGGCGGGTTGTTGTGTTGGTTGTTGTGTTGGGGTGGCGGTTGCGGTGCTCAAGTGTTCATCCTGAGTGCGTGTTGTTTGCGGAGCGGCCGCGCGCCAGTGTGTGAGTTGCTTTGCATGCCGTTTTCCCGTGGCCTTTGCTGTGTGATCAGTACAGAATGAACAGGCTGAGCGTTGATGTGCTCTCCATTTCACAGGAGGGCCACAGCCACCGCCGCAGTGCATGGCTTTTTCGCTGGCTCTCTTCATGGCCCTCTGGCACAATACACATATGTATGGGGGGGGGGGGGGGGGGGGGGTGTACTTGAGCATCATCTTCATCAATTTTTATCCCATGCACGGCTTCAAGCTGGGATTTATAAGATGCAACGGGATAACGGGTCTTCTGTGTGCATGTGGCGAATTTTCTGCCACCAACGCGACATACCTCGCCAAGATAAGATACGTGTGCGTCCATATCTTGTCGTAGCTGAAGGAAAACAACAGAATTTTGATGTTAACGTCTTTAGAAACGAATTCGCGTCTTGACAAAAAAATGTCGCAGATCGCTTCGTCAAGAACATACCTATGGCGAATCAAATCAACTAAGTCGATGCCGAGGTGATAACTACTTGATAATGGCCAAGAAAGCTTGTGCTAGTAGCTGCGCAATTTCAGGTCGAGCGTGGAACACAACTTCGTTCTCTGCGAGGCAATTTGAATTTCGATCGTGGTGCGCGAGGTATGAAAGTGAAGCTAGGAAGGAGTCAAAGAAAAATAACACGATTTCACCGTACAGAACCCAGTTTGGGCTGGGTAGTGACCTGCTTTAGAGTAGTATATCGATAAGTATTTCAGTAATCCACCCCGGCCAGAGATTCAAATTTTCAAATTTCGGCAAAAAAAGGACGCCATTTTTAGTGGGCGGAAATCGTGCAAAAAAACATCCGTGGTGTGTGTGTGTCACCAAACGAGCATCTACATGTAGATGCCAAAAGGCATTTTTGAGCATTTTGAGTTATCTGTACCATGACATTGCTGTCAACCACCACCAGATCACTGTGTAAAAACCGAAGTCCAAAATCTTCATCTATCACAGAGGTTATGTGGTGTTTCAATAAGTGAATTATAATTTTTATGTGGGAAACTCAACTTTCGAATACATTTTTTCTCAATGTGACATGAGATTGATGCAAACGTCCAAATGTATGTGTGTCTATGAGGGTGGGATTACAGAATATCGTTGTGAGAAATCTGTGTTTACAAATTGAAATAGGGCTTCGAAGTGATGACGTCACACATACTTGACAACGCATGTCAACGAAATTTCTGGGTACAAACAAACGTTAACGTCCCCTTGCTCTTCACTGGTTTTGGAGTAATAATTATGGAGGTTTCAGATGGTGGGAATCAATGGTTTGCTTGAATGAACAGCTTTTTGATGTAAAATCTGAAGTTTTCAGTGCAAAACACCACGTGCTGGGGGATGCAATGGCTGTCTGTGCCCAGTTGCTACGAAGTTGTCAAGGACCTGCTGTCACACTTTGAAGCCCTATGATCCCTGTTGTCACAAGTCTTTCTGAGAAGAGTGGTGATTAGCCGTGATTTTAGGACATGTTTTCAATATTGCAAAACTTGATTGCTGCTGTAACACTGTGGTGTGTTCTTCTGCACAGAACCCGACGTCGATTCCCAATGCAGGTCGATGGTGAGCCTTGGCTGCAGGTGCCTTGCAAGGTAAGACACACACACACACACACACACACACACACACACACACACACACACACACACACACACACACACACCTTTGGACATTTGGATGCCCATTGCTCCCTGCAATGATAGTATCAGGAGTTATAGTATTTCCATATAAACCAGGGTATGAGCAAGTCCCGAGTTTTCCTATGCTTAGCTTGCTTGGTTTGGATAACTGACTACTGGCATACTTGACTTGCACGTGCGCGCTGGTGCTTGTGTGTGTGTGTGTGTGTGTGTGTGTGTGTGTGTGTGTGTGTGTGTGTGTGTGTGTGTGTGTGTGTGTGTGTATCTGCAGCTTACAATCAAACACCACAACCAAGTGCCCATGCTACATGCCCCACAGCGCCTGCAGAAGCGTATCTCTGGCTTCATTTTCCGGCCCCGCACCACCAGTGCTGTTAGCACGGCCGTGTAGAGTTTACCGCAGCTGCTGCCATCCTCGCCTCCAGTGCCTCTCGTTTGGTGTCCTGGTTTCTCGGCATATGTTCATCGGTGGAGACCAGATCTCCTCTCTCATGTTTTCGTAGTGGCGACTTAGTTACGACCCGCTTACCGCCGACCTTATTAGCCGTGGACTGCATTGAAGTATACTGTACCAATCTAAACACATTGAACTGCCTCGCCACGGTCCGGCCTCGCGCGACTCCTTCTTCGGATGAGCCAGATCATGTCGCGCATTGCCAAGACGGCTGCCACGGCATGCCATGGGGACATGCTCTGGCAATGACGGCTGGCAAGCAGGCAGTTGTCCTCTCCCTAGCTTAGACATAGACACACCGAGCCCATATGTACACTTGCCCTATCAGGAGAGAGTGTCATATAGCATACTACCACCACCATTGCTGCTATTACTAATGGCCTCCGCTCACTTGGAGTTCGTTTCCGCCCCTTAGCTTGCCTGGTACCCGGCGCTACTCGAGGCAAACTGCAAATCGCTCTCTGTACGTATATTACCCCTGAACTGAACCAATGACCAAAAAAGGAAACCAGTCTATCAACGAACACGGCTCTATCCGCAAACGCTATACGTGACGCGTTCGTGGATATGCCGGCCATGCAACTGACAATGGACTAGTTTTAAGTGTGGCGTAACCCTGGCAACGGTGACGCCATACATGCTGTTCTTGCACACATTGATACGACGTGGTGTGTCTACTAATGTGCTCTGTGCATTCTTGAGGTTATTTCTATTATTATTATTACTACTAAAACTGCTGTTCATAGGACCCTCTCTTTATCAACTGATCTTGAAACGTGGCATTAGATTTTACGGCATCAATTCGAACCTGAAAGAATGTTATCAACCGGATATTGTGTAGCTCTCGACGTGTATGCGCATGGTTGCCACTGCTAACAAGCACTATAATTTCACAAATGTTCGGTGTACTTTTATTTTCGGTACTTTCGGTGCATCTGCTTCATACCTAAAATTTCAATACACCGAACGAACACTAACACACATAATCCAATAGGCAACAGCTTCCCTGTACCGAAAATTTCTGTTCACCTAACCAGTTACCTGGCCTTCTGCCCTCATACCGAAAATATTGAGAACCGAAAATTTCTGAAATTAGAGTAACAGTGTGACACGACATTTTGTTTGGCTTATCCAGGAAATCGGTGGCTCTGCCGCTATGATTATTGTTATGATTGTGTACAATGAAGCAGGGGTACAGTGGAGCCATGAACACAACAAAAGTGTGCAACATAATGTGCAGAAGTCCGGGTGCACAAGTGTGTTGTGCAATTTTTGAAATTAGGGTGCAAAATCCTGCATTCCGGGCAAAAAAAGTGGTCCGGCCAGACCTGCTGCTACGCCCCCTGCATTGGTATGCTGTGCTTGGTGGAATCCTAGCCTGTTCGTTCTTCGGCACTTGACAGTTCTGTAGTAAATAATTGGCATGAGGTCCAGTTGAACCCGTAGGCTTTTACCCGGATCTTCCTTACGTGGACAGCTCCCTCAACTGGGTCTTTGCAGGCAGAACTAACTTGTTTGTCATGGCATGGTGTCGCACTGTAGCAGTGTAGCCGGCCTGTAGGTGACTATAGATGCATATGTGTGACGGAAGTCCGCACTTACATGTATGTAGAGGGGACGGTTTCAAATAGGACACCGGTTGCAAACCGGAACGGACTCAATATTCACTTTCTCTCTTGGTATTTTGATTAGAAAACATATGTCACAGTGAGACTACGATGTGTTATACTCCGAGCCAAAATTTCATGGCTCTGCGATGACCAGAAGCGCCATATCAAGCAGGTGAGTTTTTGACGTGTTGCTTCGCACTGCGACTTGAGTTTTACGACTTTCGAAAAATCAACTTCTTGTCGCAGGTAAACAGCGGCTCGCCTCTCGCCAATAAAGCACCGCATACCAATCAAAACTAATGGAAGCACACACAAGGCTTATTGTTACTCTGTACTGGCCGTCGTGGAGCGATAGCAATTACCTAATTTCAGACCCAGAGTGAATTTGACGGGCACTCTAAAACGTGTCCGGTTTGGAGCCACCTCTGATTTGAACTTTTTTGAAGCGAAAAATTGGGCAACTTGGAGGCAATGGGTCAACACAAAGGAGTGGCTCAGTTCGATTGACTCTGGCCCCAGAGCAAACTTCAACATGCCAGTTTCCTTCCACAAACATATTTCGAGTGAAAAATCAACGCTGATGATCGGTTTTGGTCTATACAAATTTGGCTGTCAAAACGTCCCGGTATCGAGCCGTCTCCTCTACCATGTTTTTCGATTTTGACAGCATGTTACAAGGCGAGGACGCATAGTGCTCCTGACTACAACCATAACCCAGTTGGCAGAGGTTCAAATGGTCGCAAGACCGGGACTCTGGCAACCGGGTTATGGTTGTAGTCAGGAGCACTATGCGTCCTCGCCTTGTAACATGCTGTCAAAATCGAAAAACATGTTAAAACTACCAAGCAAGGCTTCTTTATAATATGTACCATGTATGTACCAGTACTACTTGTCTACTACACCAAGATGTGAAATTTGATAGGACATTACAGTCAACCTTGTGAATACTAACCTCGATTGGATAATAATTATTATAACAACACTATCTGCAGACCTACTGTCGTGGACATTCAGTTTGTGACGGCAAGGGATAGTGTGAAAAGTACTCCTTCATGCAACGAGTTGTTATATCCTCTACAAGCAGGGTGAGAAACTTGCAGAATTTGCAGCGGAATTCAGAATTCTTGTCCGCGTTTTTCCAAAAGGATAGGCAGCGTACCCGCATTGCAGAGGCCTTTGCACGTTATAAAATTCGGCCACGAGCCGAGTGACGATTATGGACCGAGAGATCAATAAGCAGGCAAGTTGCACACTCTTGACCGTGTACTCTTGGTGCTAGTCACAAGTCATCACAAATGGATCATTACAAAATGCCTACACGAATCTCATACAGCCGAAGCAACTCAATAACCCAAAGCGGCTGCGCCACATGCAACTATGCCCTGCTCCAGTGGTTACTGGGATGAGCAGGCGGGGAGTGAAACTGCATACGAGTACTAACGTCTTGTTGTTTCATGTTCCAGTCGCCAGTGTCATCCACCCACCGGATGCCACAACTACCCGGGGCGCGCATGCTCGCAAACTCGTGCAACTCAACGGCCACTCGGAAGGCAAGGATCGAACAGTCAACGCAAACCACGTCTAATTCCATCACCAGTGGAGCAAAGCAATAAACAGCACGAATCAAAGCCAGCAGCAATATAATATCAATAAACAGCCATTCACGCGCACGCACACATTTTTTAAATTTATTTTAACTGAAGACAGCACAGAAGTACGTACAGGATGGTGACATGACAGAAAGGCTTCTAGAACGTGCTACAGTATAATGAAAAAGGACGCCACGATGTTTAGTAGTCCTTTCCTTCGGGCAGGGCGTTGACCAGCCTGTTGTGGAACAGAGTGCGCCAGCTGTAGGTGAAGCCCATAGGCTGCACACAAAACAGAAAAAACCCCAGATACAAACACCAACATGATGAAAGTGACGCGACGATAGACAGAGAAATGTGCAAAGGCACCGACCGGGCAACCACTCAAGCCGCGCAGTGTGCATAGTAGGAACGGCCAGAGAATGCCAGCTGGAGTAGAACCAGGTGGACATTAGCTTGATTGGTTTTCATGGCACTGCCACCTGCATGCCAATTCTGCTAACGTGTTGAATGTTCAATAAGGATGGCGTAACTCCTCTCCGTAGCCTCGTCATGATCTCAACTTCAACCGCACACAGCCGCACCAAGGCCTTGGTTACACAAAATCCCTGAAATGCTCTCTTGGGCGAAAATTTTGGAAAGTGCTTGAAGTTTTTTTGGAGAAATTTGGAAAGGTTTTATTTTTCATTTTGTATAGCCAAGTTGGTGCGGCTGTGCGCGGTAGAAGTTGAAATCGCGTTGATCACACTACCATCTAGGAGCGTGATATCCTTGCATCACCACTTATTGTTTCGCAGGTACACGCTGCGCCATTTCAAAATCAAAGTGTGCCACAACGGCTTTAATCAGAGCAGTCCAAACGGCATACGTTTATGAGAATGCACGAGGCAGTAACACGTGCCAATCGTGGAAAAACACCAATATGTCTGTGTGGAAAAAGGAGAATGAGTGCAGGAGAGAGAGAGAGAGAGAGAGAGAGAGAGAGAGAGAGAGAGAGAGATTGCGTGTCCGCACGCGCGCTCACGTGTGTGTGTTGTTGTGTATAATTATATTGTGTGTGTGTGTGTGCATGTGCGTGTGTGATTCATGTGAGCTGTAGCAGGCGGGCTGGTTTTCAACAACCACTTTCGCTTGTAGCGCTCTAGAGAGAGGACCTCCGGTCTATCCCAGAGACTTGACTGCGCTCTGCGGAGAGTTTATCTGTAACGTCTTGTTTCCATTCGCAGATTTCACAACTAGAAGTTGTTGAACAATATTTTCCAATTCACTGTTGAAACGAACAGCGTTTGAACCCCTCCCTCCTTGGCTTACCTCAAAATTACAAAATTGCGGTTTGAAAAATACATACGTCGATCAAATTGGTACGCATCAAGAGTGCATAACATCCGAGAGTGTGCAATTCCCACATACCCTGCTGTGCCGACAGAAAATCAAGTTGACGTCGATCTTATGATGCGCTGCTCCTCGCACAAATGATTTACGATGTTTGTATGGGGTGCCAACACACCACACATGTCTCTTGAACTAGTTTGCACAGGACCAAACCGGGTTTGTCCAGCACAGGTCCAGGATCCATCTGATGATACGTGTACAATGCGCATTGCATCATAATAAGGACATCAACTTGAAATTCTGCAGGGACAGCAGCCGTAGTGGAGTTGCATACCGTAGTGACACACATAAAGGCCCGTGCGCTTATGAGTGAGTTTTAGCGTTATTTTTATTTTTTGCGGGTCGTTTTGTCTCGCACATAGGCGCATGCGCTTGAGTTGTTAGTGTGCATAATTATGCACATACTCCAATACCGCAATACACATTGAAGTACATGTGAACATGGTGTTTTTGTGGTGTCTGTGCGTCACGGGATGGACTGCATTTTGGTTCACTTATAAGCCCATGCGCTTATTTGTGAGGGTGTGCTAATGTCCGGGTATAAGCACATGTGCTTATATGCGCGTCACTACGGTACTCTTGGGGGTTATGTACTCTTGGTATGAACCCAAAGGCTGAGAAAGATGAACAGCTAGATGGTTCTGCTTACCTGTTCAATTCTGATGTAATCATAACCGACCCACTCTGCGGGGTGCTCCTTCGCGTGAGCCATGTGATGAACCTCCTCGTCATAACTGTACTTGAACGAGTAAGCGACGGCGGGAACGAAGCCGAACAGCAATACCCAGGCCCACATGTCCTGGTGAGCTGTGTATGTGAATGATGCATTCGAAAAATAAGAAAAAAATGTTGTCATGATTCGTGAAGAAAGAGACTGGTAATAATACGATCCATAACTCCACAGCCGTTACTTTGATGTCACTGGAACTAACAGAATCATGTATGATTATCCATGACGATAGTTTTCTCTCTACGAGACCAATCTACAACTAAAATTTACTCAAGAGAAACGTCATCCTCACCTCCAGCATGCTCACGCTCCAGGCGGAACTCCCTCATCGCTTTGTTCTCTGGGATCACTGTGTTTGCGTTAGGGCGGTAAGCAGGAGCAGGTGCCTCTGCTGCAACAGCCGTTGCCTTTCCACGGGCAAAGGCCGGGAGGCCACGAACAGCTCTAAGAGCGTTTCTTGCAACAAGTCCTGCCATCTTGTTCTGTTTGAAGCAAACCAACCTCTACTCTCTGTTCGCTTCGCTTTTTTACTTGGGACTTGGCTTGCCTTGACTGCAACCAGAACGTCGAACTCGACCGGTGCAGTGCACGACGTCACCAAAGCCCGCCGCTATCTACGCGTATACGGCAGTACAGGACAAGAATGGCACGCTAGCGCCGCGCCGCTAGGCGCTCTCGCACGCACACTAACACCGCGGGCCCGCGGTCGGCCGCGAATGCAGCAGCATCAAACATGAATGTGTGACGTAACCCAACATCATACAGTTTGTTTGAAATGACGTCAGGACTCAGGAGTTCACGATCACGTGCCTTTTTTATGAGCTGTGTACATGTGTTATGTAGCTGTGTCTGTTCCGTGTGTGTTTGTGATTTTGAAAAAAATGAAAGGTCCTATTGTTGTTCCTCAGACATTTCAAAGACTTGTCCAAAACTACATCGGTACAATGATGTACCTGTGAAGCTCTGTATTCCAGCAGTATTTTTCCTTGTACATTGTAGCTCAATTCTCATACCTGCACTTTGCTACTAGTACTGTACAAAAATACCGTTTTTGAAGACAACCTCATCTCTTGATTCTTGAATTGGAGACAAGGGGCAATGACGACGGTCTTCGTAACTGTTGGAACGACCAGTTTCAATGAACTGGTTGAAGCTGCATCTTCCAAGTCATTTCGTGGGGTAAGGGCATAAACCAAGGTTCAGTTTCATGGGTGGAGGTTTTGCTAATAGTGCGTCCTGTTCGTGTATTGCCTCGACTAGCTCCTGTATGCGAAAGGATATAGGAAATTAATCCTTCAAATTGGTCGTGGTGAACTCACACCCCAGGAGGATGCCAGCTCCGGAGAAGTTGCCTTATCATACTATCGCTATAAAGACACTCTGGCAGATGACATACGTCAAGCAGACCTGGTTATCAGCCATGCAGGTACTAGTAATCGATTTTTATATACACGTACAATTGTAATTTGTACCAAAACATATTTAAAACAGGGCAGGGAACAAAAAATATTTAAAATTGTTAATTTAATATCCACTATGACGTACTGTAGAACGGCTAATTCTAGCAGCTAAATTTTTGGCGTTTTCTGAATCCGGACCAAATTCACGATGAAATACAGTGGAGATTGGATATAACGACCTTGGGTATAACGACAAATCGAGTTTAGCGACACAATTCTGTTGCCCAAGTCGTTTAGTAAGTCCTTTCTGTACATTATAGTCTGATCGGGTATAACGACCTCGAAAATAACGACAGATCGAATTTACTGACACGTTTTTGGTGCCCGAAGACCTGAAAAACAGTGAAAATACATCGGATATAACGACTTTCCTTTTGTATCAGGCAGACTGGCATGTCTGGAACATGGTAGATCTACATGGCTGTGCCACGTGCCCGGACCTCCGGGTCACTCAATTACCGGTATGTGTGCACGTTTGCACATTGCACGTTGTCGCCGCAGTGCAGGACTTTACCGTCCTTGAACAATGCATGCAACTTACTTATGTACATACACATCTGTTATCCACATGTACATTACAGTATATCTACAATACATTTCTGTCATTTTGATATACATGTACATATTGCATACTAAATGTGAAAATCGGGTTTAGTGACAGATCGAATATAGAGACATTTTGCTTTCTCCCGAATGAGTGTCGTTATATCCAATCTCCACTGTATTTTAGCATGGACTCGGATGGAGAGCCAAGGATTAATTTATAGAAAAGAAAAAGGACCAAGGAACTACAAGTTAAGCGGGATTCACAGAAGCTTTTTTTGCGATGCGACACGCGATGCGACGGGATCTGCGATGGACGCGTGCGATGCGAACTCGCGAAATACCATTCGCAGAAAAAGTCAGCGATGCGACAAAGTCTTGCTGATTTGGGTACGTCACCATGATATTCGCGCGGGTTGGTACAACTTGTACAAATTTATAGGCAACTCTTGAACCTTTGTACAACTTTGCTGTAGAAAAGGTCGAAATCGTACGCCAAATCGCTTGTCGCATCGCAAAAGTTGAGCAAAGCTCAACTTCTGCGATGGCCCAGTTGCGGCCGTTGCGTGGGGTGCGAGATGGCTGCGATTTGGGGATTTCCCGGTTTCGCGGCAGTCGCATTGCAAAAAAGCTTCTGTGAATCCCGCTTAACGCTATAATGTCCACTAACACCGTACACATCCAAGATGTGCTAGAGCTGTTAGCCAGTTAGTTGTAGAACGTCAGTACCGTCAGTCAGTGTCGTGCAATGTTATCGCATGAGCTGATTGTTTAGTAACTGGTGGTTTTAGTGGACATTATAGCGTAACTTGTAGTTCCTTGGTCCTTTTTCATTTCTACACATATTTAGCGATCCTAGTTTCAGAACTTAGAAGTTGCGACTTCGGCGGTAATAGTCATGAAGTTGATTGTTCCAACTAGGAACACACGCTTCTTGCCGAACTTGACACTTGACTGACTCACGACTGCCATCCGGAGCACACGAGGAGCACGTCGCACCTTCCACTCGGCAAACCTGCAAGAAAGCACCACTCCCTGGTCAATACACAGTGTTTCGGGGAATTCTAGTTTCAGAGATAAAAAAGAAGAAGAAGAAGATGAGGCCGCACCGAAAAAGTCTTTTGTTTCAGGTAACATGGCCAGAAAAATACCGGTTGGTCTGCTTTCTTTTTTTGCTGGTAATTTTTATGAATGCCAGACCGGTATGAACATGTATGTGCAGCATAGTACACAGCCAAGATAGCAAATAATTTGTGGTCGATAAAGCAGGCAGACATGTAGACTACATGCACATACTGTACTGTAATATACTGTAAAAGCAGAAATTTTCGGTAACTTCGGTGCTGAAACTTTTACCGAAAATAAAACGCACCGAAAATGTCGGTATAGTACTAGTTCACTTGCCTGGAAAACGGGTTTACCGAAAATGTCCCTCCACCGAACCGCCGATTTTGGAGAATACTGAAAATATTACACCACCGAAAATTTCTGCTTTTACAGCAGCAATCAACAGCTCGACCAGACCACCAGGAACAGTCAAACTGGTCATACTTAGTACATGTACTGACACTCAGACACGAAGCAGAGCATGCAGTGCTCCGAGACGTTGCGCATCAACACATCGTACAGCGATCGTCGCGGGCCAGCAACTACAGCTTCCTGGTGCTCCAACGCAAAGATAAAGAATCCGGGTCCGAACTCCAAATGAAGTCCAGCATCATCACTCTTGTCAGCACCATTGCGGCCTGACCCGGCTTCGGAAGCAAACACTGCTTTGAAGCGAGTGACACCTTCTGAATGAAGAGTTTCCAACAAATTGCTCAGGGTATGTTACTCGAACAATGCAGCTGTTGACGACGGTCCAGCCGCCGTCAACTACAGAAACGTTTTGCCACTAGAGTTTCTAAACTAAAACATATCTTTGTCGAAAACGTTATGCTTGGCAAATAGAACCACCCTGCAACAAATCCGACTCCATTGAGTCAACTTGAAGCAAAGGACTGAAATGTCTAGCCGGCCAGAGCCAGGAGCAGGAAGGAAGGGCCTTGGCCGTGGGCCTGGCACAACGCGAAGTGCGAGCACGTACACGTACCTTACGTACGATGCATGAATGCATACAAAAAAAAGAATCGGCCGACGCTCAAAACATCGGTCGGTCGGGTTACCCAAAACAAAGGATTTTTCGGTGCCACCTGACTAGTACTTATACTGTACTTCACATGCAAAATTTCAATTAGAGCGGCAAAACATTAGCGCAAACACTCCTTCAGTTGAACGTAGCCCCACGATCTCCTGCTTCCTACGCCACTGATATCCCATAGTTTGTTATATTCGAATTACTGTTAGACCACATAATTTTTAGGCCATTAAAGTTCAAATAACGGTCTTTTGTATCTTGATGGGACGCTTATGGATTCTCTCCGTTTCATGTACTTTTTGGGGTTGAATGTGTGACGTTGCAGGGGCAGGTTGTATCCTAGAAACACTCGATGCCGAGAAGCCACTCGTGGTGGTTGTCAACGAGACTCTAATGGGGAACCATCAGCTGGAGCTGGCTCGTCAGCTGCACCGCGATGGCCACATCCAGTACTGCGTACCCAGGTGAGTCAGTCCTCTGCCTGTTTTCGTGGCCAGCTGCTGTCTGGTTTCCACCTTGACGTAGTACTGTGCCGTGGCCTATCGCTATTGCTAGCAACATCATGCTGAGAAGTGCAATACTCGAGCACTGGGATCATTAGTTCTAACAAGAGTACATACCGTAGTGTCGCGTATAAAAGCAGGTGCTTACGGCCGTATAAGCCGGGGTTCAAACCATGCTTCTATTCAAAACATGCTGCTACGTCAATATCATGAGTCTATACAGTGCAGTGCATACTGCCACACATGTACTTTGCAGAGAGCGGCTTCTATTCAAATCATGCCTCTGTGTCACGGTGCGCTTCGAAAAATTGGCTTCTATTCGAGTCCTGCTTCTATACAGGTCATGCTTTTATACGCGACACTACGGTAAACAAGATCATGCAATTCCGCAGCTGGCGCACGGCGGAATTTGTTGTTGACGTCACCTTTTTCAGACCCTGTGATGCATGCGGGGGGAAAAACACGGAATTACTTCATTGTTTAGTGTTCTACTATGCAAAATGTGTTATTATTGAATTGGCTTTGTTTCACTCACGTTGTCGTGACATGAGGTAAGAACCCCATCTCCGGGCCAAAAGAGACCAAGGGTAATGAGAGTTTGGAGAAAGAAAAGAAAGAAATTAGATAGATGGCCAACGCAATGAAGACCGAAGCGGTTTGTAAAAACAATAGCAAAAATAATGAGAGCCGGGGCCGAAACTGAGAGACGGGCACTAACACGCGGAAAGATGGAGGAGGCCAGGACATATTCGAATACAAAGGGAGTAATCACGAATGGAAAAAAAACCAGAACAGGGATAGAGGAAAAATGAAAGGACATACCGAAATGGCAAGAGAATAATCAGGTTGTGATGACCGTCATACTGCACATTCGCGGATGCAAAGCAAATATGGTATTGGAGTTGTACGGACTAGCTAGAGCTGTATCATGGGGTGCCTAATGACGAATGCCAAGGACCGACTTGACAATGTTTAGTGTGCCCAGGATAGCACATTGCTGGGCCATTTCGATGCGCAGAGTGCCTGCCAATGCCAACATAAAGTGTGACAGGGACGCACCAGTCAGACCACCAAGCGCTCCAACCACCAGAGGCACAACGCGGACATCGTCCATATGCCAAATGCGCCACAGCTCTTGGCAAAGGGGAGCATACGTTGTTAATTTTTCGGCTATTTTGTGGTCACATTATCGTCCAAGGGAACACTGATAACCATCAGCAGCACCTGTGTGCTGTACCGCAGCACCAAGTCCGGACGGTTATGGCGCACTTGCGTATCAGTTGGGATGTTGAGCTTTCACAGGAGCTTCATGTCACGATTTTCCATGGCGGGCACAAGACGGTGCTTGAACGGATTGTTTCCCGACCGATCCAGACCATGTCATTTGCATAGTACCCAATCTACCAAGTTCACCAGCGTGTCATGTTGTTCGATGTATAATGTTTTGGCCAGGGCTGGGCAACAATCCACAATATGGTCCACTGTCTCTCTGCGGGTGCCGCAAACCCAACAGACATCCACAACATCTCCCCGTCCAATGACTGTGGCCTGATGATTCCGGGTTGCGATGGCCTGGTCTTGCACAGCCAGCAAGAGTCCTTCTGTCGCAGGCCTGATCGATGGTGACTTTAACCAGCGAAAGCTCAGACCCAGATTTAATCCAGCGTCAGTGGCACGTTTCCAAAACTGGCCATGGAGAGGCTTCCCCTGGATGATTGCCAGGCATCGGAGGGCGACTGCTTTGTTGACCTTGTCTTTTGGGGCAGTTACAAGATTAGGCAGATCAAGGTCACCAAGAAGTCTGGCGGCTTGATGAGTTATGGATTTTGATGGTGCCACATCATGGTCGTGATGGCGCTTAACAGCAGCCAATAGTGGCACGTTTGGGTGAGCTTCAAGGTACCGCAAAATCCGGACACGGGTTCTGTCCAGGAGATCCCGGAATGACAGAATTCCTCGACCACCCATGTCACAATGTAGGTGGACCCTGGCGGCAGAGTCTTTCGGGTGTCGGGTGTGTGCCTTATACAGCGCTTGGCGGGTTTGTCGACCTAGTTCCTCTATCTCTGCCTTTGTCCACTCCACGATGCACAGGGAGTAGAGGATGACAGGGACGGCAAAGGTATTGATAGCTTTGGCCAAGTTCCTGGCGTTCAACTGAGATGAGCACACCAATTGAAGACGGCAGCCGAACTCAGACTTTGTAGTGGTCTTCAGGTCGGTGGTATGAAAATGGGCTGATTCCGGGACACCAAGGTATGTGTAGGACTCATCCGCCTGCAGCTTGGCAATGGCGAGACCCTGGAGTGTCCGGAGAGCAGACTGCTGATCACACTGGGCTCTCCCCCGTTTCATAGTGAGCCAGCTAGACTTCGACGGGTTGAAACGCATACCAATGCAGTCGCGCATTAACTCCACAACATTGGTCATGGAGAGCAGATTCTTGTCGTTGCGGGCAAAGAGCTTGACGCTGTCCATTATTATGTTGACTTTATTCACTCCCAAAGCTGAAAATGAAAGCTTGAAAGGAGGCATGAAGTACATCACCGGGATCCATGGGACCCAAGGGTGAAGCACCAATCAGTGAAGGAAAAGAAAACTTTGAACATGTTTTGAGAAATTTCATGAGAGCAAAATACACATTCACCTATACCAATCCGGTACTCACATAAAATCACATTCATGTATAACAGTTTTATAGATATCAAGCATGCTGCACGTGGGAACTCCAAGCAAGACAAACTCAGACGAGATAAGACAGCATAGGCAGAGAAAGACAATACGTGACTGGGGACGTATGGCAGAAATGCACGCCTCTCGGCTCGTCACACAGCACATAATGTACCACCATCATAAAACACACAGACTGAGACACATCGGGACATTACGAGCAAGCTAACGTAAGGTCAACCGACCATTTATACCATGCCACTCTCCAATCCATGACCAGTTACCGACCGCACAATCCTCAGGGTGCCTAGAATAGCACATTGCTGCAGCCGCTGGATCAGGGACGCGTGGAGCCCAAGGCTTAAGATATGGCTGTGGCTCGTTCCGGACACACCACCCAGAGCACCAATGATAACTGGAACAACAGTTATCTTTTCGTTCCAGATCCTCCTTAGCTCTGCTGCCAAGGGCAGCTACTTGCTGATCTTCTCCTGCACCTTCTTATGGACCCTGTGGTCCAATGGGACACTGACGTCTGGAAGACGGCTTTCATCGCGAGTTTGTGTTTTTGCTGCTTTCGAAACAATATTTTTAAACCTTTTCTCCCGTTGCTGTAGCTTCTTGCCGTACTTGTAGTGCAAGTTTTAGTGAACCCTGCCGAGTTCACCCAGCCACAGACTCGTACTACATGCCTTGTATGGTTGACGTAAACAAAACATTCTGCCGTGGGCCAAGCCAAGCGGAGTTGCACACTCTTGTTGATGTACTCTTGGCAGTAGGATATAGCACTGCTCGTGCTTCTCTAGCAGGTAGTTCCTGGGTATGAATACGTGTAGTTCTTATACAAAAGACTAAAGGAGCGGGACTGAAAATACAGCTCCCTCTCTCCATCTAAACAACGCCTGCCGGACCGCAACCTCCGTATGTATTTGCATTCTTATACCAGATCTGTAGATGTACGACTGGTAATATAATGATCGTGCTCGCAAGCCGTAGTATTTACCAAAGCCTGTAACCCTACACATCTACAATTTAGCATTGCGAATTTGCGATTCTGACCGCCTCGTGTATGAGTTTAGGACCCCGGGCATTACTAAATGGCTGGTGTGCGCTGGTGTGTGTGTGTGTGTGTGTGCCTGTGTGTGTTGCGTATAATTTTCTAAAGGGATCTCTCCGCGGTTGTGGACGCGCTCGACCCTGCTTCGCTGCGCCTGCTCCCGCACGGCCAGCCACGTCTGTTCGGCGAGTGGCTGACCAAGACGGCCAATGAGCCTAGCGATTACCAAAGCGGTGTTGTCAAAGTGCGGCGAGTCCTCTTCGCAGTTATCGTAGCGATAGTAGCATTGCTATTGTATGCATTTAGATAAGGCTAGTAATATCAGTATAGTAACTTCTATTCTCAATGTGTGTGTTTATTATTGCACTGCAATGGTGTACTTTGGTGCTGGGCACTACTTAGTAGAGTGGCCAGGATGCATTGCATTCACGAACCACACCTTGATCCTCTCCCGGTCAGCGGCTGGTACCGCTCTCCTCCAATTTCTCAGTGAAAGAAACGAAAATTCTCTTGACCAGTTTTTGTTCATGTTTGTGATTCGACTTGGAGCGTAGCTCCAGGTTGTGGGAATTCTGGGGCAGTTAAACACACCGTACGCCTTTGGCCACTGGTTGCATGTTGCTGTGAGCTGGATGAATGAAATAATTTTGCACGGATTTTCTGGCCATGCATGGGTGGTGCAGGGGAAGTTTCCTCGCATACAGTGCTGGATCATCTCGTGCACACACACACATACACACACACACACACACACACACACACACACCACACACCACACACACACACACCACACACACACACACACACACACACACACACACACACACACACACACATGCACACCACACACACACATGCACACACACCACACACGTACACACACACACACACACACATCACACACACACACACACACATCACACACACATCACACACACACACACACACACACACACACACACACACCATGTACCATGTATACGCTCGTCGCAAGAGAAGCACGCACATCTGCAAATGCACTGGATGTGCACCCACAGATTACACCCACACACACGCACACACACACACATGCACACACACACACACACACACACACACACACACACACACACACACACACACACACACATGGCTGCAATGCAGGGGTGGGGGCTCTACACCAGTGCCACTTCATAATTATTATGATTTTCATCAGCCAGTGTAAACACTGTAGAAAAAAAAGTTACGAAACAAAACCGCTACCTAGAAGTAAAGCGTCTCGAGTTGAAAACGATACTAAATACTGCTATTATGGTACGTGTGGCTGTGGGTGCTTGTGGCTTTGTGCACACCCACTGGCTGCCCGCACCACGATACAACCAACATTGCTTCACAGGCGGATGTCGGCTATCAAGTGCCCCTTGTCAAGCAATGTCAGTTGTCGTGAGTTGTATACAGATCATTGGGTTTCCGTCGTCGTGTCGCTCATGGCAGATCTAAATTGCACCTTTTGGTTTTGGATGCATTGTACATTTGAAAGCTGTACTTACTCAGCCACATCTCTGTGCTTATCTGATACGTGTCACCGCCCCTTGCACTCCTGCTGCGTCACCTACAACTCTTGGCCGCTCACGTGAGCAGTTGCGTGGTTCGTGCCGGCCCGAAAGGACACACACACGCGCGCGCACCCCCCCCCCCCCCCCCCCCCACACACACACCCGTTTTGGTGTTGCATAGTTTCGGTAATTACCCCCGGAGGATGCACCCAGTGTGCTGACAGTGCTCAACGCCGCAGAGGCAGAGCGTAATACAGAACAAGTTCTGTAGTTTCGGTAATTTAAAAAAGTACAGCATTGTTCAAACGTTGCAATCAACGTGGCAATGTCTTATTTGAAATCCAAATACACATTCACAATGCACAGGGGAACACCGTGTTCCAGGTTGCAAAACAAAAGTAACTTAGTTGTCAGTAAATTTGTTACGAATGAAAAAGCTGAATATCTACAGGCAAGATTTCTAAATTTTCTCTTTGAGGGGCGATTGATAGAAATTGAAAATGAGACTTTAAACATCAGAGAGCTCAAGGAGAAAATATAAATCAAAATGGGAGTTTCTGCCATGCGTGAGCGACACATGATGCATAATTGAGCCCAGTGCGTTGCACGCCTCATTGGATCTATGCTGGCGAGCAGAGAGTAGCGCCATGCAGCATAGTCATTTGTGGGTATAGACGGCACTGTAAACAGTAGACCATCAACATGACTAGTTCGTTCGTTCAAGAAGGTGTGTAAACTAAGGTATCGGGTCATTAGGTGCTATGCGAGTCTCTCTCTCTCTCTCTCTCTCTCTCTCTCTCTCTCTCTCTCTCCCACACACTCTCTCACTGACACATTCTCACTCTCTCGCTTGCTCACGCTCTCTCTCCTTATCTCTATTTCTTTCTCAAGTGATGATGGCTCAGCTAGAATGAGTTGTTTTGGCACTGCAAGCAAGTATCGGACAGGCCAAGCTCGGTCTGGTTATATTTTTCCAGGCAGGGGATGAGTGTGCTTGTGCATTTCAAGATCCACTGGCGTTACAAGTATATCAAAACCAGTGCAGTTAACTGCCGACATCGCAGCTGGCTGGATGAAAAGACTACGATGGTTTTGGTGGGCGCGGCGGTGGCGGGCCTCCCGAAACCATCCTGATCGCTTCATCCGCTGCCGAGGGACCCTGGAGAAGCAAGCAGTAAAAACAAGCGTGCACCGACACAAACAACTTTGCAAAATGCACTTTGTCGCTTGGAAAAGTGTCATGACCGCTGTGGCTGCAGCTAGCTACAGTAAAACCTGTCAAAGTGACCACTCTGACAAGGCGACCACCTGTCCTCGAGGGCCACTACAACTAGAGCCAGGGGATGGTATTCCCAGTCGAATAACCCTGGATAAGGCCTGAGACAACCGTAGCGCGCAGGCCACATTTGTCAGGTCCCTTGAGCGGTCGCCTTACACAGATTTCACTGTACTATGCATATTGTTTAGAAGGATAGAGTACCATTGCTTTCTTTGCTTTTATTCGCGCCACTACTGTACGGCACCAAGACTTGGCTGGCGCATGGATAAACTACTGCATACATTAATTTTGTAGTTTGTGTCGTCTTCAGGAATACAAGTTGGCGCCGCTATGCTTCACCTATATGTAGCTGTCGATCTGTGTCATTGTGCGGGTCTTCATTCAGAGTCATTTCAGACAGTTTCACACTACAATGCTTCCTTTTGCCCTGTGTTGGGCGTGGGATCAATGCCTATTCTCTGGATCGGTAACCTGATGGATTCCCGCTGTTTCTTTCGGTGACCCAAACTGTAGCTGACTTGCTAGCTGCTAGCTTAATGTAGCATAAATTCGCCAGTTCACTTGTCTACCCTTTGCCGTTGGACAGAGGCAGCGCTAGAGCACGGCAAGGCCTTGATCTGCTTTTTCATCCCTAGTGTCTTTAGAAGTGCGAACATAAAGACTGTGTGTGAGAACGGGAACTAGTGAGCTTTTGCGATCAATGGATCTGGGTCCAGCCCTCCGAACAGGTGTTCTAGAGAAAAAAATCTGTGGTAGATCGCAGTGACTACGGTCAGCACAGTACATAGGGTGTAGTGATCATAGATTGACTCTGGCACTGCCCGATGTATGGTGCTGTTTCGACCGGTATTGCAATCACAGCGCTTCGAATGCCACTCCATGGACAGGCATGCTATTAGTGCAACCAAACTTGGCATTCAACGGTTATTACCAGTCGTGTTTAGACTATGGGAACAGTGCAGTCATGTGCAATGCTGGAGAGCGACATCAGAGCACTGGAATGCTCTTGGTGTTCCTAGGCTACATGTAGTCCCAGTCTCGCACGGCCATTGACACCCTGCAGCCGTGCAACTCAGTCACCTTACAGTGTGTGGCACAGCAGTGTATGGCACAGGTCTCAAGACAGCAATTGGACTTCACTGACCAGTACTGCAGTTTGTACCCCCCCCTCTACACACACACACACTCACATACATACACTACAAGAATGCCAAGAGTGCATAAACAAGAGTATGCAACTGTGGTTATGGGTCTGTGCGCGGCACGCTGCCTTCATTACGTAACTTGCCTCCATTACGCTCTGAAAGCATGCACAAGTTCTCGTACGAGCACATCCGGTTTTGCTCGATTCGTTCCAGTACCTACGCGATCTCTAGGGAAAGTGCGGTGTTTGATTTTCCGTAGTGGGCAGAGCCGCAGACTGCAGCTGAATGATGTAATGAAGGCAGCGCGCCGCACATTTGGCCCGTAGAAAAGAGATCACAGCTGCATACGCTTGTATATGGACTCTTGATAATGCCCGTTCACGAATGGCGGTAGGTTCTGGCACGCGTGTACACACACACATACGTACACACACGCGCGCGTGCGCGCACCACACACACAATCGTGCACTCACCGTGTTGCGCATGTCGGTGTACTGGTCGTCCATCTGCGCCCCGCCAGCAGCAGCAGCACCAGCACCATTCCCCATCACCATGTACTCCATTTCACCGCCTTCCGCTGGGCCAGCTCCATTGCCATTGTACTCGGACGGATTGAACTGAGGCGCCGACGCACTTGTCCGCAGTGACACAGGCTTGTCCGGACGTGCTGGCACGACGCCTGGAGGTACGCTGTAGGCAGCCATGTCCGGAGAAACGGCTTTCACTGGCGGCGGTAGATAGCTGTAGTTGGCCGTGGGGATTTGGTTGGCTGCAATCGGTGTCGGCGGGAAGTTGTACGTGCTCTCCGGCGATTGCATGCGCCCTGCACTCATGGATCCACGGATGCTGGCCCGCGATGACGCTGGTGGTGGATAGTCGTAGGCAGATGATGGCGGTGGAAGCTCCTGTCCGGCCACTGGTGGCGGCGGAATGTCGTAGTGCTGGTTCGGGTCCGCCGAGTGTCGTAGCTGCGAGGACCCTGGCGGATAGTCATAGTTCTGCATCGGCACATTCTCCATGCCCGCGTGCTGCTGCTGCTGCGGCTGCAACTGGTCAAAGTTATACAATTGCTGCGGGTATTGTCCAGGCATCATGAAGGCTGTATCCAGTGGGATTGCCACGTTTCCCAGCTGCCCCGACATCAGCACGTGTTGCTGCTCGGGTGATACGATGTGCACGGGCACGGCTTGCGGAGCACCACCACCGTTCAGGGTCGGCCCTGGTCGGAAGTTTGGCGGAATGTCGTAGTTGCCGACCGGGTCGCCCTCGGAGAAACGCGAGCTGACCACAGGTAACGTACTTGCGCCGTACTGTGTGACTAGCTGCATAGTCATGGGGGTCACTGCCGTCGGTGGGATGTCGTAATAGCCAAGCCGGGAGAAGCGCTTTGAGCCCGCCGTCGGCACGGGTATGTGTTCAAACTCCATGCCGTCTAAGTCGGTGCTCTGTGTCGACTGGGTGGTCTTCGGCTTACTGCTCCTGTCAATGTTGGGTGCGTCTGGATCTGGAGGAGACATAGAGTCCGTGCGAGGTTTGGAGCTTCGGTTAATGACTGGTGGTGGCGCTTTCAAGTCGTCGGGTCCTAGCAATGCATAGCCAACAGGTCGCGGCTGCTGCTGCTGTCCGTCGCCTGGTTGCTGTAGCTGATGTTCCGGCGATACAGTTGACGCCGCTCGTGGCGGCGGTAGATAACTGTATGCACTCATCGGATCGGTGACGCCCACTGCCGCCGGCACTGCCTGAACATGCATCCCCGACGTGGCCGGTTGCGGAAAACTGTACGCGCTCATCGGATCGGTGGCGCCCACTGGCTGAACATGCATGCCTGACGTGGCCGGTGCCGAGGAGCCGGCCGAGTCGCTCGTGTTTGCACGCCGCGGAGGCGGTGGGTACTGGTACGGACTCGGTGCAATGGTGTGCGCCGGCGATTCGGACGACATCAAGATGGCCGCCGACTGGGCCTTAGGCAAGTCCACGTAGCGCTCAGGTGACGTTGCCACGTTGCTGCTCGACGAGGTTTCTCGATGCAGCGTGTGACGCATGCTGCCACCGCGCAGGCTGTTCCTTGCTGCACCATTGGTGTTCGACAGCGGTACTACGTCGTAGGACTCGAGTGCTCTCATCTCGTGCTCCGTCATCGGCCGGCCAAGATGCATGCTCTGCACACGCCCGGCAAGACGTTCCGCTGACTCTACTCCGTTCTCCACGGGCTGCGAGGGTGGCGGTGGCACAGGCCCGTCGGTAACATCGGTAACATCGGTGCCCTCGCCCACCAAGTAGTAATCACTTCCGGGGGCAGTTTGGTGTGCTACGCTGTTCGACGCTCTCCGATTGTCGTCCGCAGTCCCGAACTCTGCCGCCGTCGGTGTGCTGCTCGTGCTGTTCAAGGCGCCGACAGTTAGTGACCGCGGTTTAGGCGCAGAGTTCGGCAGCGTCATTGAGCCGTTCATTGCTGCCGTGTTTTCGCTGATCGGCCTTGATGAGTTTCCAATGGAAACTCCGGCCATCGTTTGGCATCTTGCATTTGCTGTGGGCAATGCGTACAGAGATGAAACACACAGGAGAGAGAGAGAGACAGAGATGGACGTGGAGACAGAGACAGAGAGCTCATTAGTGAGGCAGACAACAAAGAAGGTCACAGGGCAAATTCACATTTGACAATTCCCAGAACAAGTCATCCATGCATTCATTGCTTTGCACCACCCCGCCCCCTGCCGCAGTGCTGGCCATCCGGGTGGACCCATACATTTACATAAGATGATTGTAGTTATTAGAAAATGCATCGACTGCCAAGTGTCTGGCTACACGTTATAGTACTGCTGACACTAACGCAGACACACACACACCATTCGACCATTTGACGCTCATAACCGGAGGCGATGATAGCGATGCTACGGCAGAAGCCATAGCAACTTGTGCTGGGATTGCACCATTCAACAGCTTGCCAGGCTGAAGAATTGATCGCCACTATTCAGCCTGGTCGACACCACACAGCAGAGTGGCTTTTTCTGGCCAGTGAATCCCTACTTTTTTCATTTTTGTTTTCCCGCACACACATCGCACCACATACTCCAGCATGCACTGGCTTTTGGTAACCACCCAGGAGAATGAAAGAAAAGTCAGGAGGAGTCTGGGAGAGAGAAGAAAGACGTGGTGACCACAATCGTCGGGAATCGAACCCGCAACCTCTCGATTGGATATCGCTGTACATATCACTGCACTGCATGGGACACACACACACACACACACACCATGTACCCCCCCCCCCCCCACACACACACACACCAACACCATTGCCACCACAAACACACACCACTGCCACCACAACCATCCTCCTGGTCCTGGTCCTGGTAAACACTGCCATTACGGTCACGTGTCCCCTTGCGGGGCCGAAAATATGGAACGACGAGCGACGGCAGTCCGCTGAGAGAGAGGTACCAGGTCAGGGACTCAGGGACCATGTTCAAGAGAGCCATCTCCGGCAGCTATGGATCTGGCTTATCATCGGAGACTATTCCTCTCACGGCTGCCGTGGAGCACAACCATCATACACCTACACACATGCACACACCACACACACACACACACACACACACACACACACACACACACACACACACACACACACACACACACACACACACACACACACACCATGTACCCCCATACACACAGGCCTCCTCAAGCTATGGCATACAACTTCTAATTCGTCACTTGTCAAAACAGAAATGGGGTAAGGCATTGAAAGGTCTACACAATCACACAGGAAAGGACCCATCAACACAAAACATGGTACCTCTGCAATACATCAATCCAGCACAGCACAGTCATGTAAGTTACTCAAGTATGATGATCATGCAGTAGCATAATTATCACAAGGCAAAGCCTGGACGCTGCACTGAACACAGTGTTTCTGGATGCAGCCAGAAGCTGGTTGGCAGAGTTCCCCCCCCCCCCCCCCCCCCCCCCCCCCCCGTAGAGACCCGGCGTTAAAGGGGAAGTTAAGGCAAAAATTAAAATTTCACCAGTTGTAGGTTTCGGGGTGCTGAGTCGAATGGTCGTGGTCCGAGGAAGCTGAGACGCTCCCTTCCTACTTGAATCCCAATCGAACTCGCGCACTTCCACCGAAACTGGGTGACTGCGCCCTACTAGATGGGGATTTGTATGCAAAATGTCACTAAAAGCGCCATTTCGTTATTATAAAAGCACGGATGACCGCGATTGGCCCATATGTTGTAGTCTTTTGGACGCTGAGTCGACTGGTTTTGGTCCGAAAAGGCTGCGATGCAGCGTTCCTCCTTTATTCCCAATCGAACATGGTTGAACAAGCGGTCACGTGCTCCTGGGTGCCCAAATCACCTGGTCACCACGCCAGCAGGCGACAACTTTCACACCAAGGTTCAACTCGAGTTCAACTCGAGTGACAGGACTGCACCCAAAAAAGGTCAAACAGGCTAGTAAGTAATAGTTGTACCCTGCAGGCACGGTGACCAGGTGACTGGTGTACGCAGCAGCACGTGACCACTTGTTCGACCATGTTCGATTGGGAATAAAGGAGGAACGCTGCATCGCAGCCTTTTCGGACCAAAACCAGTCGACTCAGCGTCCAAAAGACTACAACATATGGGCCAATCGCGGTCATCCGTGCTTTTATAAGAACGAAATGGCGCTTTTAGTGACATTTTGCATACAAATCCCCATCTAGTAGGGCGCAGTCACCCAGTTTCGGTGGAAGTGCGCGAGTTCGATTGGGATTCAAGTAGGAAGGGAGCGTCTCAGCTTCCTCGGACCAAGACCATTCGACTCAGCAGACTACAACTGGTGAAATTTTAATTTTTGCCTTAACTTCCCCTTTAAACATACAAAATTTAAAAGCACAATACATCATGCTTGTATATCGTGTATCTTCGTCTGTAATACTTTCAAACGTTTTGAATTTAATACTGATTCATTATCACTCTGATCGGGTGCAGGTACTAAATACATCGCCCAACACCCTGATCAATCAACCCCGGCATAACAGCAAAATCATGCACCCATGTAGCAGGGCAGGGCTGATATGACAGCAACAAGACCATCTTCCTTCAGGTATGTCTGCTTGCAAAGCCTGGGATACTGTGCTGATGCTAGTACTTCATTAGGCTGAGCAGCATGAGTGCCCTCCCGTTTACAAGCAAAGAGAGGAGGGAGAGAACTGTTGGCAAGCATGTTGCACCTCTCCACTGGACATCACAATCACTGCCACTGGTGATGTGTCGACATGGCCCACAAGTGGCCACTTGGCCCCCATGCCTAAACTTTAGCACGCACGGATATACCATGCAGAGGAATGGCGTCCACACACACACACACACACATTATGCGTACGTGTACAGTCACATGTGACATGATTGTACTTCTGTACCAGCCTTGGGATCACTGCCCCATCAAGACCATGAAGACTGGCCAGGCTGTGTTCAGTGTTCGCCCTGACTCTCACTATGCAGAGGGGAAATGGAATTAGGCACCACTACAATCTGTGAAATGAATTGAACAAAGCCACTTGGGCAGGTGGCTGCAAACTGTGTTTACACACTCCATGCAATTGCCAATTAGCAAGCAGAAAGAAGACGGCTAACTCCATCCACCAAAGTACCACCAAAGCAAGTACCTTACTTTCTGAAACTAGGACTGCTCTTTGTATTCCCCTCTGTCTGAAATAAGCGCCACATCATTTCAGGGATTTTGTGTGTTTTTTTTCAAATTGGGTGAAATATTCGGGTCGCAAACTGCTAAGCGCCTCGGCCAGTATTGCCCAAAATACGGTATGTAAACTAAAAACTACAACTTACTTGGGCACGAGGCAACTCTAAAAAGGCTTTTAAGCCGTGTGGTCTCCCTTTTGTCATTGCCTCTGGCCAAATGTAGTTCAACTTAAGAATCAGAATGTAGGGCAGAGTGGTTGCAGACGTTTTGTTTTTCAAAATGCCCCCCCCCCCCCCCCCCCCTCTCCCTCTTCACCCAACTACGCGGAAATGCTGCACACACTAAGCCATGGGGCAATACTACCAGCAACCATGTGGTGCCCCAAACCAAAGCTGTGTACTTGTGCTCAAACTAATTTCCATTCACTTCCAGAATTACAACTGCAAGGGGCAAGGATCACGATTATTTAAATGCCTCATAAGTTATGCTTTCTTGGCCCAGTGGTTGGCAACCAATGCTGTCAGCTGGTCAGGGCCTGCCATGGTGTCTGCTGCTGACACTCCACAAAGCAACTAATTACTTTGAAGGCGAGCTTGTGTTTTCACCACTCCAAGTAAACGGCACTACTCCATGATTATTTCCAGCAGTATTGGTACATAACCACCAGTGTCATCTGATTGATTTCCTAACCAAACATTCCACCAGTATGCAGATCGGCCCATACTCCGTAGTCTGGCAAGGTGTGGCAGGCAGATGTTTCTCGGCGTACAGTCTACACATTTAGCAGGGCATGTGCTGCCCTTGCCAAACAACAGTTGGGCAACAAAACCGAGGGAGATCCTGCTGTACACCTGAATCGGTCGGTGTGTGTGCCGCCGATGCATGCATTGTGTGTATCATGGCCGTTTACAATGCGCACAGTGACACGTAAGAATACAGAAATCATTTACAACACACCCAGTGATTAGTAGTACAAGATAGTATACTAAGAGTAAGACAAGTTACTTGTAGGAATACTGATCATCAATACATGTACTCCTGTGGGCCAGTGTGTGTGTGTGTGTGTGTGTGTGTGTGTGTGTGTGTGTGTGTGTGTGTGTGTGTGTGTGTGTGTGTGTGTGTGTGTGTGTGTGTGTGTGTGTGTGTGTGTGTGTGTGTGTGTGTGTATCTCTCTTGCAATCATGCCACAGCATTGTGTTACTGTATAACTACAAGTCCTGCTCTTCACTTCAGGTTGAGTCTTTGCAGTTCGCACGGTGTGACAGGGCACAAGGAAACAGCTACCGGTGATGAGTGGTAGCCTATCGGAAAGTCAACAAGTACAGGTCAGGCACAGAAAGCTGAAACGTACACCGGTTGATTTTCGAAGACAAGTGGTACAGACCACTAGTGCACTGCCAGGGCTAGGGAGTCAGATTGAGCAAGTCACTGTTTTCTGCTGGATGTAGAGAACCAAAAAAAAAGAGAATGCTCTGAATGGCAGACTCCTGCACCCTTTCTTTTGGCCGCGCCGATGATAACAGTTTATGATTTTAATTTACTGTTTCGCTAGTCACAGCTACTGGCAGTATAATAGTACTGCTTCTTCGTGTTTGGGTGTGAATGTTCTAGACGCCTACTCATCTCCTTTCTTTAAACAGGCTCCGAGAAAGAATTTTCTCAATAAAGTCTAGGTCATTCACCGCCAACGTTATCTCGTTGCCCAATGCCATGCCATTGTTGCCGGCCACGACTCATTCATACAGACGCAGCGTAGGGCAACGAAGCGCCACGCTAGATACAGTAGTGACGGTGTATCTCTCGCCGCAGTCTTACATCATCCCCAGCAGAAAATGCGGGGAGGCAGCGACGAGGGTGTCACAAACAATGACCGAAGACGTCCAATCGCTGGCCGCAAATCACGCCATGTCAAAAAGAGAAAGGGGACGCGCTGCATGTGGCATTGACATAGATCACAACAGCGCACGCTTTGCGACCAGTTCCGAGCCCACTCGAACTCGTAGATCTACTACTAGTTCTTGTGCCGCATCGGGCAACGATACACGGAAAAGGGTGCCCTGTCCGGCTGTCGAAGACGAAGAGCTCGCTCTGTCCAGCCTGGTTGCTCCCCCACACGGTTTACAATCCGAGCATGCACGGCCAAGTCGACCACACGACTCCGCGTTACTTACGAAAAACAAGCAAAGAAAAAAATGTAGAATCCGCGGGATCCGAGGTCATGCACTGAGTCTGTATGATCATGATGATGTCCAGCTAGGAGTAGGAGGGCTATGTCCACGCGATCGGATGCACACGTGCACGCGAGTTCATTTCCCGCTAACACTCTCTGCACATGCACATGTGTTCTACGTCTGTCACTGCACTGAGCTGACTTTTTTTGGGACGGCGAGTCGAGTGCAACACTCTTTCCGGCGTTGGAGCTTTTTCGCCGCAGCAGCACCGTCCACCGCCGCTAGCGAGCAGCATAGTACTATTAGTAAGTAATTAGTTCCAACAAGATCGCCACAGCGCTCGTACCACATCCTCAGATACCCAAACCCGAAGGTTGACGACTTCCGATCTCCACAAGTAATAATAATTACTAGTCTTGGTCATCATACCACCACCATCTCTACCTAGTACCTCTCACAAACGATACATACTACTAGTAATTATTACTAGTAGATCCCAAAACTCCAAGGACATGTACACGTACAGTGAATTAGCGTCAGCATTCAAGCGAGCAATAATGTTCTTGTTTTCGAACATGTACACGTGCGACACACACACACACACACACACACACACACACACACACACACCATGTACCACACACACACACACACACACACACACACCATGTACCACACACACACACACAAACACACACACACACAAACACGCGCGGTTCATAATAAATTAGTGCACTGTAGTTACATAAAAGAAGAATGTCAGCACCAAACACCTTACCTTCTGTGATGGGGAAATTGCATAGTTCCATCATCTTCGCCACCCATTCAGCCTCGCGTTGCTTCGACTCCGCGCAGAAGTAGTAGAAGCGTGACGGGGTCTCCACACAGAACATATTCTTACCCTTGTTCTTGCCAGTTGTTAAGTCCGTCCTGATTGCGATACAGTCCTCCAAATTCACCGATCCTTTCTGCTTAGACTTCTTGTCATCCTCGTAATACTCGAGGACCTTCGATTGCAGTAGCACGACCCACCGCTTTCGCCATCTCTGCAGGGAAATACAATGTATAAACAGCGATGCACGGACGTCAACAGACATCGCGGCACAACTCCGCCAGCGAGCGACCTTGCAGCAAAAATCTGCCAACACCCAGACACTGGGTCACACTGGAGCCCAAATACCTGCCTACCACCTTCTCGCTACCTATCCGCACACGCCGCACACACATCACATATCACATACGTCTAGTGTCTCGTGTCTACAACAGGCCCCGGAAGAAACTCGAAGTTGATTCGCTAGTAGCATTTCGCACGCCATGCCGCTGTTTCATGTGTGGCCAGCGCAAGCCATTACCTTCAATCCGGTTCCTGACGACGGCGGTGATTTCGTCAGCCACCCTTCAAGCAACGGCCGTCCACCACCCATATTGTATACCTCCGAATGATGCCAGCTTCTCCAAAAGAAAACCCGCCTCACACGCGGTAGCTGAGCGTCGTCGTTAATGTCGCTCACTCACCCACGTCGCACTAGCTTTCCAATCAACTAACGTTACTTCTTACTTGTTTCGGCCCTCTCATGCTCAGTCCAATCACTCAGTCTTTTTCTACATGACACTGTTCAGTGTTGCCGGGAACGTGACTGCAAGCTTAGCTAAAGCAGCGAAGGCCTATTTTGTACCTGAGCCAGAGCCTGTTGATGCTGCTTTATGTTACAGCCAGGAGATCTGTCGATAGATATAAAAATGGATAATGGATGTCTTCGTCACTAACTGACCTCATGCTCACTCCGCCCCAGGCATAGGCCATGCGCAGGGCCAACAGTACAGTCGTGTACAGACGGAGACAGTGGCTGGCAGTCTGCCACTAGCACTACGTACAGCTAGCTGTACAAGACTTCATGCCTTTCATGGGTCAGTCAAAGACTGGCTGAAAGAGTGTAATACTGTACTACAAGTACAATACTAGTATTGCCCTAGACTCCCCTAGTGCCGTGGCAGTACAATCGTCATGTACTGTTGTACATGACGATAGACATACTCACATAGTATTATGGCAGTAGAAGTGGCCGGCGTTGGGGGTAGATTCTACGCGGATCAGTATGACCTCGTACAGGCGTAGAGCTAGAGCAGTAGAGGCTAGAGCACCACTGCCCTGGGCCTGGCACTGGCACTACACTCAGTACACTGTCATGTTATCATGGTCATGTAGATGTACAGACAGTGGTCATGGTGTTGTGTAGTTCTGTCAGTGTCAATCTGTCATGCATATCTGCGTCGTAGAGTCCATGTCAAGGTGACCACTCGGATAAGGCGACCACCTGCCCCAGACGGCCAGAGGACCACTGCAACCAGGACCAAGGGCAAGGATTCTTTTTCCAGTCAAACTACCCTGGATAAGGAGACCACCTGGTAACAGAGGCCATGTTTTGAAGGTCCCTTGAATGGTCGTCTTAGACAGGTTTCACTGTAGTCTAGCCACTGCTAAGACAAGAGTGCGTAACCCCCCTACTGCCATGCATGGGCTTATGTGATCTTGTCACTAATGACTATGTACATGACATTGTACAATGAAACTTGCCTAAGCGGACCGCTCAAGGGACCTGACAAATTAATGTGACTTGCGTGTTAGGGGTCTCCTTATCCAGGGTCATTCGACTGGGAATACCATCCCCTGGCTCTAGTTGTAGTGGCCCTCGAGGACAGGTGGTCGCCTTGTCAGAGTGGTCACTTTGACAGGTTTTACTGTGTATGATATAGCAGAGTGAGAGCAAGACCACTGATACACGCCGCACTGTCATAATCATCATGGGGTTTGGAGGCCTCTTTTACGGGCAAACAGAATACAATTGACAGTGGCATGGCGAATGATTAGAACACAACATTAACACCAAAAAATGAAAACAATTGCATGTGTGAAAAAACGCGAAAAAACGCAAAAAAAAACGAGAAAAACAAACAAACAAAAAACAGGAAAATACAAGGCACTCACGTGAGTGATATCGCACTTGCACTGTCCTGCCCACCATCGTCTCCAAAACCTCACAGCCGGCCCTCCGAGATTGCCAACTCTCGCAATGCATTCACATGGGGTTTGGAGTAGTCTAGAATAGTCCATTATCATTCTATGGCCCTATGGGCCGGCTATGGGATGGGATTATCCTTCTACTACAACTTGTACATGTGCATGATTGTTGGTGACGTGTATGTGTGGCACTTGTACTCCTGGACTCTTCTCACTCCCATTCGCACAGCATCTGATCAAGAACTAACATTATTGGAACCATCAAGAGTCCACTGTGACTGCCATTGTAACAATGTCCTCTTGGTACCATCATAATAGCCCACAGAGGGGGGTTATAACTGGCTATGGTTCTACTCTTGGGAGGGGGGTCGTTTTTGTTCTACAGGTTAAGGTAGAAACTACTTCTTGCGGTAGAGGCGTTCGTTTTTTCTGCTCAAAAGGGTAGATTCTACTTTCCTCTACCGGCTCTACCAGGAAAATGTAACAACGTGGTTAGTTGGTAGAAGCCGGTAGAAGTTGGTAGAGCTACGGGATTTCCGGCAAGATCAAGGATCAACTCCATACAGAAGAGAAACATTTGACGTACATACCGTGTAAACTACTACTTCAGTAAATCCGGTAGCACAGCGTTCGTGCACTTACCTCTACCATCTATAGTCAACTTCGCTAATAACGACTGCGGATATAACGACAATTCGGGAATAACGACAGAATTTCCATGCCCAGAGCAAAGTCCCATCCAACTGTAGTTCATTATAATGAGACTTCGGGTATAACGATACTTCGCTAATAAGGACACTTTTCTGATGCCGCGCCGAGTGTCGTTATACGCAAAGTTGACTGTACCTCTATCGGTAGAGTGACTCTACTCTACCAGGTAGCTAAAAACGAACGCAGCCCTAATGATACATGTACAATCCAGAGGGAAATCTGACCAGGCACGTGTACTTTCCATCCAATGCAAAAAGAAAAGTATGTTATCATCCAGGCCCAGGGTACTGTACTGCTTGAGAATGGGTGTGTATTCACTAGTAGTAGTACTGCCTCTATAGTGTAATGAAGTTTGACTGGCATTTGCACTGAGTACAATGTATTATGTGCGTGCAAACACCCAGAACAGATGTCATGACTGTTATGTAGCAAATACAATGTAGTCGGAATCCACGAGATTCAGTATGGAAATAATTGTTTTATTAAAATCGCTGCCTTAAAGTCGGCGGACTTTTAAGTAGAAAAACTGAAATATCTCAGAATACGCCAGTTTATAATAGTGCATTCTTTAAACATACAAAGCACTGTAGAATGATCGTATTGTTGGCCAGGTGTTCCAGACACCCAGCTTTCACAATTGTTGATGACTGCATAATAATATTTCAGTGTGCATGTGTGTGTGTGTGTGTGTGTGTGTTAGTGTGTGCACCATAACGACCAGCAGAGGTGCAGGCAATGGGCATCTGACTGCCCGAATGCCACGTCTTTCGTGCTCCAGAGCATTCGCAATGCGTTAGCAGCAAAGTAGCTAGGCAGACGGAGAGAGAAAGAGAGAGAGAGAGAGAGAGAGAGAGAGAGAGAGAGAGAGAGAGAGAGAGAGAGAGAAAGAGAGAGCACGTTCATGCATCAGCTAACCCCAAATAGGGTTACGACTTTCAGGGACGGTGCCGTGTGTCCTTGCGACCGTACTGCTGGTCACGTTGGTGACGGCTACGCTGCTTGCCCGATTGGCTGACGCGATACGCGTCCAACACCGACTTAGCACCGGCCATAGGATTGCCGCTGTTCTCGTGCACACGCTTGATCGGCATGAACACCTTGGAAGCCAACAGCAGCTCGGCATCTCCATCCTTGACAGCCGCCTTCCATTCCTGATGACTGAGGACAGCCACCGACCAGCCAAGACTCGACAGAAGCCGGGCCTTAAGTTTGTTCTCCACGTCTGTGACGTAATCCACGAGGATAATACCGCACGGGGATAGGCAAGAGTCGCGCAGGTTCTCGACGTACGAGCGCACATTCTCATCCAGCTCTTTCCAGGACAAGCTGTCCTCTACCTGGATGCGATTCTGCGAGATCCACGGCAAGGCGCGTGGGTAGTCGTCCCACGACCGCACGGTACGGTCACCGGCGAGCAGCATGGCTGCGGCGACGCAATGGCCCGACGGCAAAACGAGATTAGTGGCCACGTCCTGCTTGACGGCGCTGCGGCCGAGCTTCTTCACCGAGTTGAAGCTGGCCACCATGGCCTTCACCATGGTGGAGAAATTCAGCTGCGCTTCGGTGGACTTGGACTCGTGCTGCGCCGTCTTCAAGGCGCGCAGCTGGCAGAGTCTGGCGACTTGCGGTGGCAGGCACGGCCAGCCGCGGGCTATGGCGTGCAGGTGCAGTGCCCATAGGTCTGCAGCTGCGCCGTCATCGCTCTTGATCAGCACCCTCAGGTTGCTCGGGTCTCGCGTCAGCAGATCTCCGATGGGAACCGCGCTCGAGGCGTGATGCAACAGACCGGCAGTGCAGAAGTGCAGCAACGTCGGCGTGTCAAGATCCTTCAGCGCGTCGCCAGACCGCTTGAGCCACGGGCTTACAAAGAAGCGGGCATCCAGGCACTTGATGACGCGCAGCACGTGGAAGATGGAGCGCGCATCCTCCACAGTGATCTCCTGCAGGCGATCACGTAGGCAAGTCACCAGGATGTGCGGTATATGGCTGCGGCGCAGGTTGAGCAGGTCACGCGAGAACAGAGACAGCGTATCCAGCAGCTCCTGCGTGCCCGCTTTGGGAATGAAAAGACTGGCCTTGTGCAGCGCCGAGTCTAGAATGTCATTGTTCTTCGACTGCTTGTTGTCGATTCCAAAGCGATAGGCCACGGCGAAGCACATCAGCTCGGTGGCATTCATCGTCTCCACCTCGTTCACGTATCGCTCGTAGATATCCGTGTGCATCTTCGCAAACCAGTAGTTATGGGTGCGATACACAAGAGCTGCTTGGCACACACCCGTCCAGGACAGCTCCGACGTGCGCTTATCCAGCACCGCAGCTAGCTTGTCCACGACCAGATCGTCCACCACCTCCGCACGCATCAGCGCCCACGACAGCGATGCAGCCTCGTTGGGCGTGTACTCCTGGAAGAAGTCGGTGAAATGCGCCCGTGCCATCTTGAAGAAGTCTGCGTTGTCTTGCGGCTGGCACGACGCCAGGGAGAGCGCCAGGAAGCACACCGATTCGGCCGTCAGGTCAGAAAAATCCACTCTGGTTGCAAACCGGGAGAGCTCGGTGAGCGATGCTGGTCGAGCATTAACTCTCGACCATAGCTGCTTCCACAGCTGCAGCAATCCATTCGGGTCTTTCTCACCGACATGTGACTGCATAAAACTAGCCAGCGATGCGGGATCAATCAGGTCGGGACTCTTCTTCGCCAACGATACCACGCTGGAGAAGTTCTTCATGTTGATTTCATCTGAATCTCCCATAAGACTCACCATATCACTGGGACCTGCTGTGTTTTCGGACAGAAAAGCAGCAGGTGACGAACACGTCTCATTGCCTGATCCAAGCAGATCTACATTGTGGCTGCGAGTGCCACTTGCAAGCTGGTCTGCGATCGGGTGCCGCCGCTGCTGGGACGCATACTTGCCAGACCTCCATGGTATGGCAGTGTGCCTCTCTTTCTCCTTCTCGGCACCATCTGCAGCCTGCGCCGACACCAGATTGCGCGGATGGTCCAGCACAGAAACTGGACGCCAAGCTGGGTCGGACGGTGATCCAGAGGACGTCACGGAACGCCAACCCCATGGGCGGAGACGAAAAGACAATTTTGATATGTCAGCGAGTAGACGAATCATTGCTCGGCTGATACTTCATGTCCAAGAGCAAGGACTAACTGCACGTACTGGCAAATGATGTTTTGAATTGAAACATGTATTTCCCTACTTTGTTTACTATTTCTTCATACACGTACACTATTTTAATTGTAGATCTGTAGTGTACGTTCTCGAGATCTCCCTGATTTACAACCTTCTTTCATGTTTGCTTTGTTTATTTTTTACTTTGATTCAGAGTGGTGATGTCATGTGCACGTGCGAGTTAAGTGCAGTCTGCGTCACAGGTCACAAGGCCAGCATATGCAGGGCCAGGGAGTCAGCAGGGACCCAGGGTAGGACTCGGAGTGCAGGTCCAGGTCCAGGACCAGGTCAGGAGGAGGACCAGGACTGGCACTGAGGAGTCCAGGAGCCAGAGCCGGAGCAGGGCCAAGACAAGGGAGAAGTCGTAGACCTGGAAAACAGTGCTCCTGGCTACAACCATCATCAGTTGGCAGAGCCCCGGGAGTATTTTACTCCCTGGTCAATAGTGCATGGGCTCAAACAGGTACATGGACGAGTTCGCTACAATTTTAACGGAATTCGATAGTATGCGAGTCGGTTCAGTATTAGTGGAGTCGACTGTAGTTCGTGCTATCAAGACTGACAAGAGTGAATACTGAGCCTGGGAGCTTGTTACTCCGGGTGCTCTTAACATTAATAACGTTAGCCGCGGGCTGGCATGCCGGGCAAAATAACCTTTCCAAAACCGTCTTCATAACCGTAGTCGACGTTTTACCTTGAATGATTCTTTACATTCTGTATCACCAAGATTAGTATTTATTACATGTACAGTCAAACCTCTTTAGGACGAACACCAAGGGACCGATGGCATTTGTTTGCAATAACGGGAGTTCTTCTTATCCGTATGTTATGCCCAGTGAATACACAGTGATTTATCCAATGGAGTTACGAATACTAGTTCTTCTTAAGCAAACATTTGTCTTATCAGTGTTCTTCCTAACCAGGTTTCACTGTATACACTGTAGCTGAGAACGGGTTAATTAATTCACAACGCCAATACTAGTACTAGTACTAGTAGTGACGTACTAGTACTAGTGTGAAACCATGAAGTAAAAATCAAATCAAAAAGACGCCTCGGACCCGGCCAAATTCGGAAAAAATGGAACACTCACCGCAATTGAAAAAATTAAAGTAATGATTGAACACAAAATCTTGACAAGAAACCGCTACCTAAATGGCCTAGTACCGGCATGCAAAGGCGAAGTCATGCCCCTCCCCGTGTCAGCACAGCCGGCGGCAATATGCTGCAAAGCCCGGGGTACTACAGTCCTGCTCAATGAAATCCAGTCGCATCACTCGGCAAGTCTGCGCCTTGCACCTTTTCGCAGCCCAGTGTTCGCAGGTCTGGGGCTGCGCAACGCCCGGCGCGTACTCGAGGGACGCGACTGGATTTCATTGAGCAGCACTGTAGTATAGTACTACTAGCACTAGCAGCTACCGCCGTACCGCTATGTGCCAATCAAGGGATGCCGGGGTGGTAGGGTACCAGTACTCTGGTTTCGACCACACTGCGATTCTACAATGTAGGTGTACATGTACATGTAGGTGCATGATCCGTGGTCTATCACTACGGGCAAGAGTCCATATATTACAATATTAATAATAATAATAATAATAATAATAATAATAATCTGGGCGGGGGGGGGGGGGGGGGGGGTATGGACTCTTGCCTGGCAGTATTCGCTCCTTTGTCAGTGGACAGTTCTGTCTGGGATACGGACTCTGAGTCCGTATCCCGGGCCCGGGGGGATATGGACTCAGTACTGCTGCTAGCTGTAGATTGCCGTAAAGACTATGGCCTCGGGCGAATACCGGTAGATCAAAGTAATTGTAAGTAAAGGCAATCTGGATTTCGCCGGTGGGCATAAAAGGCCACCGGTGGTCATGCTTCTGGTACCCGGCATTTTCTGGTTAGGAGGAGCAATCTTGAAACGCGCCCATCTTTTGGATTCAGTCATCCAGCGAATGTTCTTCGGGGAGAACAGGGGCACTACATGGTGACGGATGTTAGGATTTAGATTTAAAATACGAAAAAGAAACCTCTGGGATTGTGTTTTTGTAAAAGATATAATGTGAGCTGCAGCTGCAACCATTGTACAAGTGCTTTTTAAACAATCAGTGTGAAAAGGCAATCACGGACGCCTGTCATTTCAAATGAAAAAGAATATAGTGATGGAAAATCATGCTGAATATCTACATGAGAGAGGAAGTAAAGGGATCGAAAATCCGCTGCTGGCCTCAGTGCACGTGCCACTGTGACCCAGCTCCATGGCTTTCATACAAGTATGCACTAAGTTGCAACAAAAAAAGGAGCTTCACTCCAAAAACATTTCAGGGCTTTCATGATATTTCGAAGTGCACAGGCTGAAAGACACTAAGCAAGGTGTGCCATGTACATGTACATGTATATGCCACTTAGCTTTTAATCAGGCCTCATTCGGCGTGCTAGCAATGCAGGTTGCCCCGATAGATTTATAGACGCTGGTGTAACCAGCATATGTTTGTCTGTACTGTGTACAAGAAGTTTTCTTCGCTCAAGTCTCAACGCCAACCCGGCGTCAATTCAGAACACGTCAGCATCACGGATTGACAGCAGAGACGCGCAAGCCAGAAGCAAGCAAGAAGCAAGCAAGAACAAAATTTAGAATTGCCCGTACAGAATCTGCCGAACCACGTGTGTGTGTGTGTGTGTGTGTTTGTGTGTGCACATGAATGCATATGTGTATGTATGTACACAAGAGGTGCTGTGCTCGGCCCATCACCTGCATTGAGCACACTAGCTTAAGGCGCACTGCCTCTGTGTTTATATTATGTATACATGTGGGTGTGCATGTGTCACGTGTGTACGTGTGCACTAGCATGCGTTCTACAGCAACACTCGGACGCTAGTCTAGTCTACGTCTGGATCGTGACAATGATCCACCTGGCTGTACCATGCATGGTCACACGTGTCTCAAGCGTTGCCCAGTTCAAGTCTCAGGCTGGCTCGTCCAAGCCTCGCCATCTTGGCAGACGACCGCCCTGAGCAAACGACAATGCACCCGACAAACATTGAAGTCAGAACGCTAAGTTGAAACTAAAGCTGTGTTCCCAACTGGCACGTGGACGCGGTACGCTTGCGGTTCATGCGTGCCAAAATGCGCGCTCAGGCTTTCACAAAAAGCCAGCAAAAATACACACAAACACGTGGTTTCACGCGTACACGCGCCAGTTGTGAACACACCTTTAGAGTTTCACGCGTAAAACAATTATCAGGCGATGAAAATAATCACGGTTCGCGTGAGACTCGGCTGGAGGTCGAGTTCCCGTATCCGTAGCAACGCCGCTACCATATATGGGTCAATGCGCAGATGCAGCTCCTAAAGCAATAATAATGACATCAAACGGGGGAAAGGAATTCTTATAATGATTCTTGAGGTATTGTAAGGCTAATAGTGATTAATTATTAATCCATCACAAGCGGTCCGTGAGATCGCACCTAACACAAATAGCAGTGCATGTTCGGTATCACTGGCATGCTGGTGTAGACTGGCTAGGTGATGAATGGTCAGGGGCGTCGCACACGGTACGGTCACTACGGTATTGACCGTACCACTATTTGCCCCAAGCACCCCGTGAATCAACAAAATTTGGGCTCCACAATTTCCAAAGTTTTCGGCTCCACCGTCCCTCCCGTACACAACATACCTGGGAGATGGCTGGCGGGACCGCCGCCAGGAAAACAGGTGGCGTATCGGTGCCCTCATCACGGCCGCTGCCGCTGAATGCTGTACTGCTGTGATCATGCGGCAATGGTCGATGGATGAAGAGGACATGGCATGTAAGCATGCACACACACACACGCGCGCACGCACACACACATACATATATACACACATACATACATACACACCACACACACATACACACATATATACACCATGTACCATGTATACGCCCGTCGGAAGAGAAGCACGCAAATCTGCAAATGCACTGGATGTGCACCCACAGATTTTCTCTTACAGCAACGATAGCGAACAAGATCTGAATGAGACAGATCAAGACTTGCGCCAGATAACTTTCTAATCCACACAACTGATATATACACACACACACACACACACACACACACACACACACACACATGCACATGCACACACGGATGCGTACACACAATCTACTCATGGATGTTGCCCACTTTTCGGCTGGGCTGAGTACTACCCTCTACAATAGTATGCATAGTGAGACAATCAGATGCAGAGCGACTCAGAGCCACAATACAGTAACGGCTGGTGTCACAGTGATTATACTAACAAAGGGAACCTCTCAACAAAACCGGGGAACCTGCCAATAAAGGTCACCTCCCAACAAATTGCATCTCTTAACAAAGGACGCACATCAATAAAGGACACTTCCCACCTTGAACAGCTCCCAAGAATGATGGCAATTTCCCAATAAAGGCCACCTTCCAACAAAGGACGCCCCCCAACAAAGGACACTTCTCACCTAGGACACCTCCCAACAAAGGACAATAGACCACTCCATTCTACCGGACACACGTCTTCAAATCTCATGCAAGTGGTCCCAATCGAGTTGCAACGCACTCCGTAATCAGGACACAATTATATACAGGGAGGATATGTGCACTCACACGGGCGGGGGGGGGGGGGGGGGGGGCGTATCCAAGGTCCCACTGTGTATACTTACTCGACCGTACAAGTATAAATTTCACTGAATGGTCAACTGAAAGAGAGTGTGCCCTATATCTACTTGGATTCCTCCAGTGCCTGGGTGCTGCTTCCACCGACACTCAATTAGCCTGCACTATCATCATTTTCATGGTTTTAGTATTGAAAGTACCGGACAGTTTCCTCGGCCGAGACAATAATGCGATAATACTGAGGACACACTTCAGGCTCTTGAACAACATCTCAAAAGTTTTCACTAGTATACTTTCACTGCCTTATCGTCAGGTGAAATACAGGCAAAATCAAATGAACAAGAATTTGATTTTGCCTGGATTTCACCTGATGATGAGGCTGGAAAGTGAGAACTTTGAACTTTCAAGATGCTGTTCAAAAACCTGAAGTGTGTCCTACTTCTGAAGTACTTGGGTATGCAATAACCACCTACATGAACATGTATGCAGCTATATGCACGATCCTACTGAAAGTATCTCACCGCTGTTTTGTGTGCCAGTGGGTGCTTGTCGATGTCCATAGCTTCTGGGCACGGTGCCATTCGGATGACCACGGCCATCGCCGGCGAGTGGGTGGCCGTCTGGTTGTTGCCTCCCGTTGCTGCTGGGTAGGTGGCCATTGCTGGGAAGGTGGCCATTGCTGGACGGGTGATGCTGCTGTGTGTGGACAACAGGATGCTGCTGCTGCTTCTGTTGTCCATGGTGCATTTCATTGAGGCGGTTAAGGAGTGCCTCCTCACGCCTGGGAACGGCATAGTAGACGGCCGGATGCATGTACACGGGGAAGCACTGCTTCCAGCTTTCGCCGGCGTTGGCGGGCGAGTTGCTCAGCAGCACCGGGACGAGCGGCTTGCTACGAAGCAAGCGCGTGAACTCGGAGCGAACACCGCAGCCGAGCGGCCAGTGGGCCAGTGCGTGCTCCTCGGCCTCGCTTTCCGTCATGCACGCTCGCTTGAAGCCGGGCGAGCCGAAGACGAGCACCGCGTCGGCGCGCTCGTACATCTCTGCCTTCCAACCTTGCAGCCTGGCGGGGTGCACTTTGATGCCCTCCACCTCAAAGGCATCCATGCGCACGGTTTGGCCGCGTCGCCACAGGTCCCTCACATAGTTTTCCACGTTCTGAGCATGCTCAGCGGAGTCCCAGTGGTAGCTTGCTAGCATGAACTTGTCGAGAGGGCGATTATCTGGGTAAGTCAGTGTTGCACCTGAAAGCATTTCAGGTAGCGAGCAAGCAAGCCAACAACAACAAAAATCATGGTTCGCGTGAGACTCGGCTGGAGACGGAGTTTTCCGCGTCCGTGGGGATGTTACCACCCTCTGTGGATCAAGGCGCAGATGCAGCCCACAAACATCCTTACTAAACTGAAGGTAAACAAAATGATGACCCACAAAAGACTCAGTCAGACATATCTACCTTCATCGGAACTCAACCGGATCCTTGATCCTTGGTCGTTGATTCTTACTAAAGCCAGCAGCACCTTACTATTGACTTTACCATAATCATCATGCCTAATCTGCTAGTTCAGATACAGCCTTCACTCGGACAGTCTTTGCCCGGCTGCCAGTACGTCACACCATGCATGCACATTTGATGTGAAGGCGAGAGACTCTGCAGTGGCTTGCAAGGCACGCTTACGTTCTTCAACAGTCATGTACGCCGGTGGCGGTGGCTCTTGGCTTTGGATTTGTTCGCTATCCTGCCGTCCAAGCTGGTCAGCTAGGATGCCTAGCATACGTAAGAAAGAGAGGGAAATATCCGTGACGCAGCATTGTAGTGTACTGTACGGCCAGGGACATGAACATCTGTGCTTTATAGGCAATGTGCTGTTGTATGTCTGAAGTCCAATGCCGTCGTGTATAACATAGTGCAGGGCTGTCAACATACTTATTCTCCATACCCCATACTGTAGAGACTAGAGAGGTTCTGCTCTAACGTCAAACATACGGATATCATGTAAGAAAACAGGTGTCTGTGCTAGAGGCTACGGTATTGCATGGCTTACAAATGTAGGTCCAGGTAATAGAGATGAGGTTCTCTACGCTATGGCACATGCTAAGAAAATGCATAAAAATTGCTGCGTATCCGTTCAAGTTAGGGAGAAGTCTACCAATTTGGAACGGGTAATTACCAGCATTTATTCCACATGATTTTTTTGCATAAACGTAGAGCAGAAAAGGTTTCTCATGCGTTACGAGAACGCGAAGAGTGATCACGGGATTCTTCGTGTCCCGATCCCGTGACTAAGACCAGAACATGTCTAGCATGATATGTTATATCCAGGGTGCTGAAGTGTCACTGCAAAGGCTGCCTCAATCCTTCTATCACACAACCACACCTATCACACTTCATAGTGAGAGCATGGGCCCGTGAGTCTCTTCATCTTACAGCTCGCCGGGAGGTCCTTCTTCCTCGCCATTGTTGTGTCTCACACTCAGAATCCGTCAAGGCAAAAAAAGACCATGTATTTGCTGTACATGCGCAATATGAATGATGCCAATGAAAAGAGTGACACTATTACTAGACATAGCAGGCTTGTTAGTCACTTACTCTCCCTGGCATCCGAGATGACGTCTACGGCCATTTTGTTCCCAGATTTCCCCATGGCGTGAAGCAGCGAGCGCATTCGAAAGCCACGTTCAACAGCTCTGTCAAGAATTCTAAGCGTTGTCCCAGGGCCGGCATTTTCCCTAACTTGCGACTCCTGCACCGAAAATCAATTTTTTTTAGAGAGACGATACACTTGACTGAGTTTAAGTTACACCAGCACCAGCAGCACCCCAACACCAGGCAGCAGGCACCTCACCCCAACACCAGGCAGCAGGCACCTCACCCCGCTGCCACAGCCATGGTCTGTGAGTTGCAGTAAAGGGACAGTGTAAATCCAATGTTCTGCTCTTGGCGATTCATCAGCCAGTGCATTCACACATACACATAGAAGGTTAAGCGACCTCCCCATGATGCGGGCAAGACAGGTCTTTAAAGGCAGGTGCACGGTCTTTAGAACAAGGTCCCATACATTCGCGACACACTGGTCCGCGCACATACCTCCATTGTACTCATATTGACGAGTGTTGGGCAGAGAAGACTTTCATTCAGACGAAGCAACCGTAAGTTTCCACACCTTAGTCGAGTGCATGCAGCTCACCCCGCACAGTCATGTGTCACTTCCGCTGACTCAATCGCATACACTCGCTTCTGAGCTCACTTCAGCCTTGTTGTATCAAGCATGACAGTCAGGACAGCACTTGCGGTCGCTGTACGCAGGTCAGACATGGCACTTGGTACACTGAAAGTCCGTCGCTGACCGCGCAATGCAGGTGGTCGCTTTTTACGGTGCCGCAATCTCTATTAACAGAGTTGCCGGTGCATTGAAACACGGTCACTAAAATCAGGTGGTCACGAGTACTAGAGGCCGCTTAACCCAGGTCCACTGTATTCTTAGGTGCTGCTAACACTGCCATGTTATCATGTCCTACATGCACGCACACATGCCCCCCCCCCCCCCCCCTTCCTACCTCCTCTCCCTTTCCCCCGCCCCTCTTTCCGTCTCCCTTTCTCACTCACTCATTCATTCACTCACTCACTCTCTCTCTCTCACACACACACATAGGCACACAAACACACACACACACACACACACATACACACATGCACACGCACACACACACCCACACACACCCACACACACACACACACACACACACACACACACACACACACACACACACACACACACACACACGCACATACCTACATGCATCAGCATGCATACAAGCACACAAGACATTGAGCGCTGTCTCACCCAGTGTGGATCCTTGAAGCCCATGTTGCACAGGAGAGCAGTACATCCCCGGCCCTGCACGCCGTCCAGGCCATCACAGATACGAGCTAGCTCGCAACGCTGATCTGTCGTCATCTCCGCAATCAGCGGGTCCTGGCACGGCGAGAATTCTACACCATCGGTCAGTGGCATGTCATCGTAGTTGTCGTCATCTTCATCATCGCTCCGTGTTCCAAGTGAGTACAGAGCGGCCTGCACTCGTTTTGCCGGCGTCTCCAAGGCAACGCGCTGCGGCGCGCCAATTGGAATCCCGGCCGCTCCCCGCATGTCCAAGCGGTATGTCGTGTCCTCCGTAGGACTAGCGGCGGCGCGCTGTTGGCGGCGGCATTGTGCTGAATCTGCTGTTGCGGCTGTCGCTGCTGGCTGCCTGTTGGCATCGCAAACATGCTGGGATGGAGCGCCAGAAGCTGAGTATTCCGGCTTCAACGGGGAGAAAGAAGAATGAAGAATTCTACACTGCATATTAGATTGCCCCTTTGTGTGTGCATGTGTGTTTGTGCGCTTGTGTGTGTGCGTGTGTGTATGCCACTGCCATGCAAAGAGTTTGTACGGAGGAATTTGGAGGCCGGATACGAATTTATGCAGGTGAAGCGAGTTCTCGGTTACTCACTCGGTTGTGGAGCCAGGAGTCTCGTCCACATCGCCAATCCTAACAATGTAAGTTTTAATAAAGCAATAAATAAAACTAACTCTGCCGTCATCACCATGCATCAACGAAGTCAAATGTAAGTTTTGGCCAAAGTAAATTTCATGTTCCTTACCAGAGGAGCCTGCAGATACTGTTCCAAGTTCAGAGAGATTATTGCAGCCTGGATGTGCAGCAGAGTATCCTGACTGGCATGCACTGGGACATCCCGCTCTCTGATCGGGTACTTCTGAATATCTCCGCCAGCGCAAACACCAAGCTCTTCGGCATACGACGGTGCGGCAGCATCACGGACTTGCCTGATCTCGTTGGCCAGGTCGCCTAGCCTTGCCGAGCTGCCGTCCGTGCTCTGCTCGATGATGCGTGCGACCTCCTGCTCCGGTATGTTGTTAGCGAATGTGCAGCAGACAAAGGGCATGTGTTGACTGCTCTGCTCACGGATCACTCGTTGTATTTGCTGCAGCACGTTGCAGGCAGCAGTGTCATGCCCAGCGACCTCCCAGGCAATGTACTGCCGGCAACGAGAGGTCGCCACCAGGGCACGTGGTCTGCTCGTCACACGGCAGCTGTCCTTCCAGTGCCAGACGCTGCTAGTGCCGAACGTCCCAGCCAGAGCCACCTACGCATTGTAGAGATACAAAAGTACACGGCAATATATACTCAGTATATGGTCACGGCTCTATATATGGTCACGACCCTATATATGGTCATTACATGTCTGTACAGTGTGCACTCGACATGGTCCACTGTTGTAAATGTACTATTATGACCATATATAGACAAGACACATTGCAACCAACCACAATGGAGTGACCATGTATGTATAGCGGTTTGTTAACAATTGGACCATGTATAGAGCAATGACCACATATAGAGGATTGCTGGGCTACTGAGTCCTACATGTAATAATACAAGCTGAACACATGTACAACAGTGTCATTTGGTCATGTCGCAAAATCCGTATTTCAGCCTTCTTTGACTGACTGAGTGGCTATGCATGGCTTAGAGAGTGAGACCTGGCATCCTGTGCTCTCCATGCCATCATCTTACCTGCACGCGGTCAAAGAACTCTGGGCATGGTACGTCGAAGTAGGCCATGGCATAGGACGTCATCATTCCCAGCCACTTGTCGGCCGGTCGATATACAGTCGCCAGCCAAGGCATTCGCAGGTCGACTTCATCATCCTCGCATATACTCTCACCGACCGTGTACGCAATCAGCATCTCCTCCAGGAGACCGATGAACATTTGCAGCATGTAGCGGGGCAGGTCGTCCAGCACCTCGCCTGTGTCCGCTGTGGTGACAACATTGTACTGCGAGTGACGCCGCCTGAGCTCATCGCTGCACAGCAGCTTGCTGAGGGCATCGATGATGTCCGGTACGCTAACAATCACCATCACTGGCCAACCGTTGCGCTCCACAAGTATAAGCTGCGGGGGTTGTAGAAAACGCAGACGTGCAGTCACAGCACACCGGGAATGAGGTATCAGAATGCATTATATTTGATAGGGAAGGCCCTGCAGACGCTGTCGTCTTGTTACAGGAAACCCTTGGTGCTCTTCGATGAGGTAGGAATGATTTCCAGCACCTGAGACCATCGTGGAAATGGTGGTGATAACAAGAGGCAATTTCGAGCGCGTCACACGTTACGTCTGTACCACACATCACTCAAACGTCTTGGGCAGCAAACATGCACAAACGCGACCAGAAGTGCCCTGGGGTCACGGCTACACTGGCAAGGGAGATTATGCCATATACGTCCTTTGTCTGTTGTTTTGTTTTGTTTTGCGAGATACCATATCATGGTGCAGGCGCCAGCAGGAGTTTTTTTTTAAAGTTTCACTTCTCACATGTTCTTGCTGCTCTGCAAAGGTCATGCGCTGGCTGGCTGGCACTTGACACGTGACACACCTCGTGTACCTCATCCACAGTATTACTGTTGACATGTGGTTGCGCTTGTAGCTCTTTGTCGTACATGCGGCTGCGCGTGTAGCTCTTTGTCGTACATGTGGCTGCGCTTGTGTCTCTTTGTCGTACACGTGGCTACGCTTGTGTCTCTTTGTCGTACATGTGGCTGCGTTTGTGTCTCTGTGACTGTGTCGTACACGCTGCTGACCCGTGGTACACGCTGCTGCGCTGTCTTGGAACGCTTTGTACATGCCGCTGCACCGTCTTCTGTCCCCTCCGTATGCATTCTTTCTCATCTCGTCCCCGTTGTATACGCATTTTCTCGTCTTGTCTCCGTTGTATTTGTCCGGTTGCCGTCTTGTGTCCGTCGTATTTCCTCGTCGGCCGTCTTTGTCTCCCGTCCCGTTCGGGACTTGTTGTACTATTCACATGCACCTCTTTCGTCTCCCTCACCCCACTTTTTCCCCACTTTTTCCACGTCCCCACAGTATATTCTCTTGTCCTGTCTGGTGGGAGTTCAGTTCTTCAGTCGCCTCTTGAAGTGAAATACAAGAAAAGCTCTCTCTCAATTTGACTAGTCCGTTTGATGTGTGGCGTGGCAAGGGTATCGTAGAGGCAGCTCGTTCTCAACCCGAAACGACATTTCCTCTACACAGAACAATAAGGGCAAGGCAGGCTAGTTTGTCGCTACTGTGAGTTTCATCACACATTAGGTGAATCTTCTGGGGTATTTTCTCTGCATGTGTTTGTATCAATGGTTTGCCCCCCCCCCCCTCTTTCTTGAGGCTACAATCTCCCATAACTTGTTGAAATCGTTTTATTTCATCAAAACCAATAATTATTATAACCCCGCACGCGCCTAGTAACAATGTTTGTGTATGTGTGTGTGTGTGTGTGTGTGTGTGTGTGTGTGTGTGTGTGTGTGTGTGTGTGTGTGTGTGTGTGTGTGTGCATGTGTGCATGTGTGCATGTGTGTGTGCATGTGTGTATGTGTGTGTGTGTGTGTGTGTGTGTGTGTGTGTGTGTGTGTGTGTGTGTGTGTGTGTGTGTGTGTGTGTGTGTGTGTGTGTGTGCGTGTATGTGTGTGAGAGATAGAGGGGAGGGAGAGACAGACAGACACATAGACATACACATGGATACACACACGAACACACATGGACACGGATGGACAGAGTGCTAATAGTGCGGCCGGTGTGCTTGCACTTTACTCACATGGCCACTTGCTCGCACCACTGCTCTCAGCTCCTCATCATCCGAGTTCCTACAAATGTCCTCTGCCACGTCCTTGAATTCATCCCACGTGGTGAGAGGGCGAGAGCAGTCCTCCCGAACTTCATCCAGTTTTGACTCCAATTTCTTCACTTTGCGCATGAGGTGTCTTTCCTTCATCAGCTGTATTTGTATGGATCAGGTGGAACACAGGCAGAATGTCTGCGTCAGGAGGGGTGGTGTGTGTGTGTGGGGGGGGGGGGGGACCCTGGTCAAGACATACCATACTATGTCAATGTATGCCTGAAATCCGAACTAGTAATACCAAGAGTATATAAGCACCTCAAGAGTGTGCAACTCTACATATGGGGTCTCCGACGGCGAACACTCACATTACGTGTCCTAGGTACGTTTTTTACTACATACACACAAAGAAGGATAGCGTGCGCGCAATCCAAATATCTGCCATGATCATGCTGGCGAGTTGCATAAGCGCAGTGAGTTTCTGTCAGAGAGTGTGTTTTTTATTGCTCCGTTGCTCGCTAAAAACTGGCTGGAAACGCACAACTGGGACACTGCACCACGTGATGTGAGTTTTCGCCGTCGGCGTGCCCCATAGAAAGGGTATCAGGAGTTGCACGCTCTTGGGTACTTATATACTCTTGATACAATGTTAGTGCACTAGTACTAGTACTAGTACTAGTACTAGTACTAGTACTAGTACTAGTACTTGTACTAGTACTAGTACTAGCGAAGAAGTCCTGTAAAACCGAAAAGTCTAGCGAGTCACGAAGTCTAACGTTTTAACGACCAATTATTTTTCGTTATTAGAAAAAAACGTTATCGCTAGATGTCTGTGTATAGATGCACATACAGATGAGTGGCCAGATAGCCATCGTTAAACTTTCTGCACGTTATCATGCCAAAATTACAAAAACGTTGAACTTTTTGGTCGTTTAACTTTCCGGTTTTACAGTACACAGAGGGGGGGGGGGGGGCTACCCAAGCTACCCAACACATTGAGCTGCCTGGTGTGCTGGTGGAGGTGATGACTTCTGCCATGCCGGATGTTCAAACGGAGCCACCGCTTCCGCCGTTGGATGGTGAACAACTTCGCAGCGCTACCGCTAATTGCGCTGCAGAGGCTCGCTTGGATATCCGTGCAAGGGACTTTTGGTCGTCACCGCAAGATGCATTCTTTGATGTGAGGGTTGCTCACCCCTCGGCGTCCTTGCTGTCGCGACAGGAAGTTCTTGCACAGATTTCTCGGAATGAACATCGGAAGAAGGGGGCCTATCTTCAGCGTGTTGTCGATGTCGATAGGGGTCATTTACTCCGCTCGTATTTTTGACAAACGGCATATGTGGCACGGAGTTCTCTCGTGCATTGAAGAACATTGTCCAGCTTGTGGTTAACAAGCATAGTGACCTCCAGTATGCTGTAGTGATGACGCAGCTACGCCGCAAAATTGCATTTGTTTTGCTGAGGTGGTCGATCACGTGCCCCCGTGGCTGTAGGGTGTCTTATTTGCGGAAAAGAATTGACCCCCAATTTCTCGACCGATGTCGCCTTTTATCAATGTAACCGCCTTCATTAGTCATATGTTGGCCTATTCCATATTCAATATTGGCATGTTCTGCGGATTTGTAGGCATGCTTGGAAAGTCTAATAATATCCTGCAATGTTATTTCGTAGGTGCATGGCTACTACTTCATGTACTACAATTCGTACACGACTTGATAATAGCCGGCTGGCATGGTACAACAACCTTTTCTTCTTCTTCTTCTCACTAATGGTTTTTCTTTTACCTCGAATGGTTCTTTACAATCTGTATCACAATTTATGGGCTCAGCAACAAAGGATGTGATACAAGTGAAGAAGCATAATTTAAAGGGGAAGTTAAGGCAAAAATTAAAATTTCACCAGTTGTAGTCTTCGGGGTGCTGAGTCGAATGGTCTTGGTCCGAGAAAGCTGAGACGCTCCCTTCCTACTTGAATCCCAATCGAACTCGCGCACTTCACCGAAACTGGGTGACTGCGCCCTACTAGATGGGGATTTGTATGCAAAATGTCACTAAAAGCGCCATTTCGTTCTTATAAAAGCACGGATGACCGCGATTGGCCCATATGTTGTAGTCTTTTGGACGCTGAGTCGACTGGTTTTGGTCCGAAAAGGCTGCGATGCAGCGTTCCTCCTTTATTCCCAATCGAACATGGTTGAAGAAGCGGTCACGTGCTCCTGGGTGCCCAAATCACCTGGTCACCATGCCAGCAGGCGACAACTTTCACACCAAGGTTCAACTCGAGTTCAACTCGAGTGACAGGACTGCACCCAAAAAAGGTCAAACAGGCTAGTAAGTTGTACCCTGCAGGCACGGTGACCAGGTGACTGGCGTACGCAGGAGCACGTGACCGCTTGTTCAACCATGTTCGATTGGGAATAAAGGAGGAACGCTGCATCGCAGCCTTTTCGGACCAAAACCAGTCGACCCAGCGTCCAAAAGACTACAACATATGGGCCAATCGCGGTCATCCGTGCTTTTATAAGAACGAAATGGCGCTTTTAGTGACATTTTGCATACAAATCCCCATCTAGTAGGGCGCAGTCACCCAGTTTCGGTGGAAGTGCGCGAGTTCGATTGGGATTCAAGTAGGAAGGGAGCGTCTCAGCTTTCTCGGACCAAGACCATTCGACCCAGCACCCCGAAGACTACAACTGGTGACATTTTAATTTTTGCCTTAACTTCCCCTTTAAAGAAGAAGGAGGGAGGGGCATGTACTCTTGATAGTGTCAGATGACCATTAGCCCGGTGCCATGAACCTCTGAGTAACTGTTACCAGCCAAATAATCACATGTCCTGCCCTTGTGCACAGCAAGAAGGAGCCACGGATGTGTGTATTCCCCGCCAGCCTAATTGGTAGGGCATTGTCCCGGAAAGACAGGGGAGCTGGTTTCGAATCCCGCTCGTGGATTCTTCTTTTGTACTTCGAAGTAACAATTGTCAACTTGTGTGAATCCATGACACTGTATTATAAATACATGAAATAATTTAAATCTGCACTTGGACTCTCAAGTCATACTAATGGAGTGCACTGTGAAGTACCTCAATGTTTGCACGCGCCACTTGCTCCATAGCTGTGGTGAGGGCATCAAATGAGGCGCCATTGACCGAGATAACCGAGTCCTGAAGCTTCATGCGCAGACTGCCTTTCCAGTGACTGGCCGGATCGTCGAGAACGGCCCGAACACTACGCACTATGGCATCACAATTGACGGGGTGGTGCGGCGTTGATGTACTCCGAACGGTGGCCAAGTGGACGACAACCGACGGCGGGCCATCACACCGCGGTAGACACCGGCGGAACTGGTGAATGCAGCTAGAGAAGATCAGAGGGGACAGGAATCAGCTCACCTCTCTGTGCTTATACATGTACAGCGCCGCGGCTGGGTTTCCCTGTCATGCAGTACGGCTCTATGCTTATACATGTACAGCGCCGCGGCTGGGTTTCCCTGTCATGCAGTACGGCTCTATGCTTATACATGTACAGCGCCGCGGCTGGGTTTCCCTGTCATGCAGTACGGCTCTATGCTTATACATGTACAGCGCCGCGGCTGGGTTTCCCTGTCATGCAGTACGGCTCTATGCTTATACATGTGTACAGTGCTGCTGGATGAACTGATCAGGTGAGTCAAGTACTAGTGAGCTGTACCAGTGCATGGCCAGGCGTTCACAGGTCTGCGACTGCACAGCGCCCGGCTTTGACCGGCATGCACACCCTTAGTACCTAGAGTACCAAACGACCTGTTTGATCCGCTAGCTTAGTTTCTCTCCACCTCTATCCTTATTACATCCCTCCCCAATTTCACTAATAATTTCTGGTCTCTATCTGCATTCGCCACCTTTTCATTGGGCAGATCTGTCCGTTTGGCCTTTGCAAATTAAAATAAACACAATAACAACATGGTCGGACATCATTGACCGGTACAGCAGTTACGTGTATATGCTTCTACTATGCATGCACATACAACCCTGGAAACTGCCGTGGGTACGTGTAAGTGAGCCTAGCTAGTACAGGCCAATGGAGAGGGCTCAATGCTTGAAACTACACAGAATACCGGCGACAGCTTGCTAAAGGCATGGCAGACTGATACACAAAGCACAGAGGTGGACGCGCTGAAACAACCTCTCACTGGTCCTTAGCTGCTTCTCCCGCCCCATACGCAACCCTACATACACGCTGACACACACACACACACACACAGACGCCGCGCGCTCACCTGAGGACTTCGTTGGTTATTCGGCCGCCGTCCAGGGATGAATCAAACCAGACCACGCATACACTGCATCTCTTGGAGAGCAGGAGATGATGAACAGGTGAAAATCTTGATTCGTCGTTGAACACCCATACTGGTAGAGACACGGCTGTGTTGCCCTCCTGAAGTGGTAATGGTAACGCGAAAACCGTCGCTGCCGTCCTGGCCGCATTGCTCTCACGGATCTCGGCTGGATCGTCGTCTTCGGTGGTGGCCCTTGATTTGTTGCAATGTGCGGTGAGAAATGCTGTCACCATCTGCAGAACGCTCGGCGCGCCCAAAAAGGGCACGGGAGCGGAAGAAATCCTGACAGAAGGCAACCCAATCGGACAAGCGATGCCAAGTGTTACAATGTGGAAAGCTAGTAGAATGACTCCACCGTCTATCATGTGCTCTGCCCGTGATGGCATCCGCTAGCTGTTTCCGATATTTCTGCCCCCCCCCCCCCCCCCCCCCCCGCTGTACCAAGATACAATTATGTATCTAACCTGGGTGGACTAACTATTTAGTTAGAGCTTGCCCTTTGTCCAAGAATGAATGGACAAAACTTCAAAAGTCAATGGTCATAGATACCCATGACATGGGTGGGGTTCACTGGGTGGACATGTGCGCACAAGATTGAATAAGTTACTAGTACTAGTAGGCATTAGGAAAGGCTGTCCGTATGCAAACTCCCAAGCTAACAGCTACTTGCACGTACAGTCATACCCGTATGCACTAGTGATAATACGGTTGTGATCAAAAGGTTCATTGTACTTACTTCTTTCCCATGTCGTTGTTGCAGTGCACTGGCAACAGCTGATCACTAGCACCAACTCCAAGCGCTATGTTGTGGGCGGACGCGATCGGCCCTAACCTAAGACCTTCGGATGCCGGCCATCCGACGAGGCAAGCTTCCCATTGCCGTGGTGCTCGGCTCAATGCCAATGGCCCTCAGCCAGTCTTCGGCTACAGATGGGCACCTGTGCACTAATAATAATATCCCTCCCCTGGACTTGACCTATTGGCTCGTCTCGGACTGGCCTGCACTGGCAGCTGGATCCCTTTACTAGCGAAGCTCCACGTGGGCTGCAATCCAGAACTTAGTTAGCAGAATTGCCCTGCTCGTCCGAATAAGAATGGTTGTTCCACAGGATGCTCGAAGGCGCAAGGAGAAACGCGGAGAAACGTAGCCTTGGGAACTAGCGACCAACAGCATACAGTGTTACAGCTAAGCTCTGTACGTCGTTGTGCTACAAAAGGTATAAATAAAATTATCTATCAGACTATGCAAAACCTCGACTGACCACGATGTCCTCCTGTGTGTCCAAGTACTCCTGTTGGCCCGCGATCACTGGGACACATACACACAGTGACACTGGGACTGGGACTTAGTGCGGTCGCTGTCCGGAGGCAGAAGCACAACTCCCTCCCAACGCAGCAGCAGCAAAAACATGTGCACCGAGCAAAAGTGCAGAACAAGACAACACGTTAGCTCGACCGCAGGTAGATCGACTGCTGGCCTGGTTCGGAAACAGAACTCCGTCGCACGTAGATCTACGTGCCCGCCGCTTCTCGCGCTGTGAACATGTCAGTGTCACTGCGCTTTACACTAACATTAGTAACAAGACTCAAGAGTGTGCGCTGCACCGTGATTCGTGGCATTGACATGATGCCTGATGGCTCAGGTGATTCAATGACTTACTCCTGCTCAGTTTTTTTTTATTTCCTTGGTGCTAAGCACTGCTTGTTTACATGCACCTTGGACCTTTGTGACATGCCGTTCGGGAAAACCAGTGGACTTGGTGAAGGGCTTCCGCATGATTATCCTGCTCGATCTGTCAAGAACGACAGTCTGAATGCCAACGGAATGACGCAGACGACCAGTCGACGGAAAGTCACCGGACAGTCACTCTGCAACGGGCCGGGAGTTGCAGCGGCTCTTGCTGAGCCTGTCCATGCAGCGGACCTAGTATTTGGACTACTACTGAGTGTGTGTCAAAGCAGCTCGAGCCGGCTGGGAGATCAAGACCTGTGATCGTGCAGTGGCTGTGTGGTCTTCTCATCAAAGCCTAGCCTCCCCCGACGCGGCAGAACTGACGCTGACTATGTTACTACTAATGGCAGGTTAGATAATATTATTATTATGACTGTGCATGGTCCCGGGACTCTCGGGTAGGGCTCATTTTTTTGCTGTGGATCATGGAGAGGACGCAACTCTCCAAAAACAACAAGACTTTTTTTGTTAGTAACATCCAAAGCGCACAAAAAAGGCCAAAAGCTAGGGCACGTGAGCCACCATGATCACGCATGCAGCGTGATAGCCTCTAACCTCAGTTATGCCTACCTCAGTTATGAGCTGTTTCACGTTGGCATGGCCTAACATTACTATAGCCGAGGTTATGCGAAGGATGCTCTTGGCGGTGAGTCAGCGGAATCGCTTATGGGCGCTATGTATACATGTATTCAGTGTCTGCTCCAGCACCGGGTGAGCCGGGTAATCCACCCGGCTCACCCGGCGCTTGGACCCGGTTGAAAATATAGTACCGGGTCACCTGTGACCCGGTTGGTACTTTACACTTTCCGGAACTTTGAAAGGACTGACTACATGGCTTGTATGTGTCAGATATAGGGGTGAAGTTGGCACTGAGATCCCGAGTTCGAGTGCTCTGATTTTCTCCGATCGAATATTCGAGTATTCTTGATGTCCTACGAATTCGCACACCAAAGGCCTTAAAAATCATGTGATACAACCCTGATTGAACCAATCGGCAGTCCTTTTCTCGAGTGTATTGGTTGGTGGGTCATTTGGACTCTCTCTACTGGTGAACAAATGTTAACCACACAGTCTGCACATCAATATCTGCCCGCTGCTGCTTTGAAACTGCAGATTTCTGTGGTAAATGCATGTACCATGTATGAGCGAGTACTCTGATTTATTCCGAGTACGATTATATTTGAAAAATCAAAACGAGTATTCGAATATTTGGTATAATTGTTTCACCCCTAGGACTCAGATACTTCTTCTTCTTTCGTAATTTTCTAATTCCTGTCCTCTCTTTTCTAAATGCGGCTTATCCATTCGCCTTCATTGGGCCTAGTTCCCGTTTATTGTCCGAATTAAAATAAACCAACCAACCAGTTAAAGCATGTGACTCGGCTGGTGAGACAGCGCCAGGTACATGTGTGCCCGGTTCCGACCCGGTTGAAATGGTTGCGCCAGGTACACGTGTACCCGGCTGTCCTACAATCCTAGAGCAGACACTGGTATTCAGCGTGAGTCAAAGGAACTGCTTATGTGCAAAGGCGCTACAATGCACGGATTACGGTTTCATTTCCTTGTCGCCTGCTTCAGTCTTTTACTTGCTTTTCCTAGATGACTGCGCATCTAACCGCGCCATAAACTAAGGGTTGAAACCACACTCAACAGTCCAGCGACTATTCTTTAGCAGGAGAGGGCGTTGTTTTGGAAAGCTGATATATCTCGCAGTGCGCGTGTGCTGCGTACAAGTGTAAGGTATAGTGAAAATCGGTTATGCGAATGATGTCATGCAAATGATGTCATGCAGATTATCTAATGGACGCTAAGCATACAGCATGAGACGACGGCGGATTTTCCAATGGGCGCTAAGTAACGCCGAGTGTAAGTCGCTAGTGCAAGTGCAGCGCTGTGACGCGAGTCCACGACTTGGCCAACACATCTCAACTGATGCTGTATTGCTTTACCTCTGTGCATGATTGTATAAAAGGACATATAAACTTTTCGCTTTGCATTGGGTGTACTGTAGTTGTAAAACACGTTATTTTCGGTGTATTATAAACTTTAATTACAGTGATTTGAGTAGAGGAACCAGGCAACTAAATTTAGACCACACCCGCTATAAGGTACTAGAGTGCGCATTGAACATGTATGTGAAGGGAATACTGGTCACCTAATTCTGCATAACACCTGAGGGACGTGAAACCTGTCAAGTCCCTGACACCGAAATTTTAACACGCCTAAAACTACATGTTTTGCCGTACACTCAATCTGCGGACAGCATGCTGTTTCGTCCTGTGTGGACTCGTCAGCGCAGCACAGAGGAAATGAGGCCGAACCTGATGGCAATGAAATAAACAGTTTCCCAACGCCAGATCTTTACAGTACATGGACGAGAAGTACCGGCATCTGTTAGGACCTGCGTCACAGTATAGTATTACTAGTTTCCAGGCATTTGACTTTGGCTGACATGTAGCCTAGTATGAGGGGCACAACAAGGGACATGTACACAGCCTAAAATCTCTCCACCTTCGTTCAGCTTGTGGAATAACTCGGATGTTGAGCCAACTGAAATCTAGAGAAGGAAGGGAACATATGGTTACGAGTTAAGAGTAACTGTCCACCACTGTACCTTGATACAGTATACTATAAATATACCATGCTATACAGTCAGTGATGGACAGTTACTCTTACTCTTAACCATACAGTCATGTAGATGTATGTGCCCTTCTTTTCTCCGAGTTTAGCTTGTGCATGATTATACTTATTTGGGCCAAACGGTCTACTACGGGGATTGCAGCTCACTGCGTGCTGTGAAGCCAGACTGAGGTGCATCCCTAGAATGTGTGCCAGGACCAGCTGCGCCGCTCCTTTGGATACACAGTACTACATGTACCTTGGCTACCTTCCTCATTGCTGTCATGCTACCGCTCAGGCTCGGCCTCATTTTCCCTGTGCCGCCACTGGCGAGTCCACAAACTGGACGAAACAGTTCTGTCCCCAGATTGAGTACTAGTACCTTGGCTATACACTCACGGTACAGAGTAGTATGTCCCCTGGAAGTATGCGTATCGTTACACAGTAGTGCAGGGTCGGCGCCACTGCGGGTATGACGGGTACGGCCATGCAGGCCCGTAGCCCGCATGGAGGGGGGGGGGGGGGGGGGGCACGTGCACCCCCCTAAAAATTTCGACCTGGTTCAGCATGGACATAGTCATTGTCCTGTTTGCTGCCGTTACTAGTACATTTATTGAATCATTTCAGGCGTAATAGGTGAAATGCTTGTCATCACAGCTCTGGATGACCAAGAGCATGCAGGCATTTGCTTGTTCTACTGCGGCCAAGACAGGGGTTTAGTTACTCATCGTTGGACGAGCATACCTGCGACCGCTGCTGCAATTTCGCGGGCTTTTCCGTACCACGAGGAGCTGGGTGTATAGGAAATACGTGTAGCTGCACGTACGCATACAACTGCAAGCCCTGTAGGCCACTCCTCTAACAGTACACCAACTACACACGGTCACCTGCTTGTTGTATGCCAAGGGTAGCAAGCATCTGAAAGAAATACATCCGATCATCCACACATACAAATACACACACGCGCACACACACACACACACACGCACACACCGTCCACACCGCACAAACACGCCAAGCCAGGACTCCACGGAAACACAAAGTTAGTGCACATACATGTAAAACCAGATAAGGACAGTGATCTGAAAGAACGGATAGCAAAGAAACTGAATAGGAAGCTTTCACAAAATTATCTTCTTGAATAAAGAGTATTGACACAATAGAATAATCATATTGACAACAAATACTCTCTCGGCTGGGAAAAATAAGGAATAAATAGAACAAGACAAACACAACACAAGCCACAGGTAAGCACCGGGATACAAACGGTGAAGACTATTGTCTCGAGATGGCCTGCAGCACGGGAGCAGCCGACGGCCAGTACACGTGCACGCCATCAACCTTCAGGGGCAGGTGTCCATGGGAACTGGCTAGGCATAGCGCGCGTGCACGCTGGGGATAGGGTAAAGGGTGTACTGTGCGCCCACGTGGTATAGCGGGACGAAAACAGACAGCAATATCGGACTGGTTAGGACGGCAAGAGGCACACTACCGACAGCCAGCTGCTGTACACTGCTGCTTGCCAGCAGCATAGTAGCCTGACGAAAACACAACAGAGACAAGACTTGCACACACACACACACACACACACCCACCCACACACACACACACGCACAAAAGGCAGAAAAAGAAATGAAAGGCATGCATTGCGTGAAAATACATGGTGCGCCGTCGCGTCGCTGCTAATTGCTTGCAGCCGGGCGAAGTGATACGCGAGCTTTCTGGAGCTCTCTTCCTAAATTCCATAGTATACAGCAGACTATTCTGGGATATAAGGACGGATACTAGGGCGATGTCTTGCACTACCCGCTAGTGGTCAAGTGCAGCAGCCAGTAGAGTATACACTGGCCACTGCTGACTATTGACTCTTCTTTGTAGGCGACTCCTCCGAGGCTCGCCTGGGGTTGGCCTTGACGACTTTCAGCTTGCATCCGCCAATGGCGGAGCCGTTCAACTGGTTGATGACGAGTTGGGTGATGGCGGGATTCGTAAACTCGGCGTAGCCATAATTGTGGTCTCCGACGAGCCACAGCTTCTCCAGTCCGCCGTAGCAGGAGAAGGCCACGCGAAGTCTCGACACGGCCGGCGGCGAGGGAGTGCAGACAAAGAAAGCGCGCGTGCCACCGCCTGCTCCGGTGTGCTGCTCAACACCACCAGCGCCACCCACTTGCTGCTGCTGATGATGATACTGATGCTGCTGCTGCTGCGGCAGCAGTGGCACATATCCGGCGGAGTGTTGGCCAAAGCCATACGGCACGGTATTGACTCCATCCATGCTCAGCAATGGACGGGGCACGTCAGCACCAAAGCCAGCGGCAGCAATGCCGGCAGCACGCTCTGGCACCAGGCTGACGAGCAGTGGCGACCTGGGCGGGTATTCAATCTGGCCCAGCTTCTCCTTGGCATAGTGGGCCGCGTCCGGTGTCTGATACGTCACTGCCACCGTGGCAAAGCGCTGATCCTGTCCGTCGCTGTGCTGGTGCATTAGTTGACACGCCACCATGCCCGGCGGTGTGTCACACAGCCGACTGATCTGCTCCTGCGCGACGGACCGATCGAACTTGACATACACGCACGTGGCCATACTGGCGCTACCACCGCCCTCGCCTAGGAGAGAGCCTCGAACTAGAGGTGCCGAGGGCAGCTGAGCATTGCCCAGCAGAGGCGCACGAGAAATGCCGCCTACCCCCGCAGGCAACGGTGGCTTCACGCCGCCTACTCGGCCGGCATCGTGCAGGCGACCAGTGCCGCTCTGTCCCAGAGGCTGACGCCCCACTCTGCCGTCACGGGGTTCTGCAATCACCGCATGGTACGACTGCTCGCAGTTCTCCATGGCAAGCGCAGCCAGTGACGGCCGGGAGAACGTAACGAAACCAGCGGACCGGTTGCGGACCATGTGAGATGACTCATAGCCATCAAAGTGAGAAAATTGCTCCTGAAGGTCCTTTTCTCCTGCACCATCTGGCAAAATTACATAAAGGCGATTTCTGGACGAAAGCTCATTCACATCATAAGACTTCTGCTGGTTTTTACTGGCGGCAATACAGACACTGATGGGTTTGGGGTCATCTCCAATTTTCGCTTTGCCAACTTTCTCCTGAGCAAGGGCAGCAGCTGACGTTAGCTTGTATTTCACAAACGCTATGCCTCTGCTCTCCTTTGTTTGGTTGTCTTTGACGATGAAGAGCGTTTCTATGTCACCGAATTCCCTGAAAACGTCGCGCAGCTCCTCCTCAGTATGTTGCTTCCCGCACGCCACAAACAGGCGAGAGTAAGGAGGATTGTCCATGTCTGCACCTCCGCTTCGCTCTCCCATGATGCTATCAGCAGCCTACGAGATTGGAGTTGATGGGTAAATTATATTTTATACAAATTTCTGACAAACAAAAATTTTCTTCGTCTTTGATTTCGGAAACTGGTACATGTGGACAGAGGTCCAGGCCAGGACTAGCTCCGCTCCGTGCACTCGCAGGTGGCCGTTCAAATAATCCTACAAAACAGAATGACAACTGTATACTGCAGTAGTTTGTGAAAAGAGCAACTATTTCAGCTCCACGACACGGTACTTTTTTAGCACTTTTTTGTTGATCGAGGGGGGCGCGGGCGAGACATAGCTATAGCCCGATTTTGCTAGCAATTCTGCTGGCAAAATATCGAAGAATTTTGACGAGAGAATTTGATGGCAAAACGGAGCAAAATATCGGTATGTTCGCTGGAAAATGGGAAATGTTACACCAGGATCAGAGTACTCTTGGTTACACCTAGGGTGCGTTTGGTTGGTACGATCTAGAACAGGATCGAACAGCTGGTATGGTGCACATGGAGCAGCCTCATGCCAACCAAACGGTACTCCAGAAACAGAGCACATTTTTGGTGCATTCTTCAAAATGTGTACGGGTCACCATGGTCACTTTGTACGATACAACGAGTCCAACCCAAAAGCGTATGCACGTGATCATTTGGGACCAAAATCGATGTTCCTGCCAGGTTTCACTGTGAAAAAGTGAAACTGCTCGGTCTGCTCCGGCCTGGAGGCCGGAGCAAGCAGAACATGTTCTGGCCGACCCAGAAGAGGTGCAGTCCCAACCAAACGCGCTGTTCTGGTGAATCCTGTTCTAGTTGGTACCAACCAAACGCGCCCTTATACTTTATAGTTATACGGTGCATGTGACTCATTTTTGCCAACACGTGACTCATTTTTTTCTCATTTTTGCCAACACGTGACCCACTTTCGGTCAGTTTTCCAACACGTGACCCAAATTTAGCCTTGCGCATTGGAGCAAAAAGGGAGCAAAATATCGAGTGACCTGGCAAAACGAAAGCGAAATATCGACGATGAGCGAGCACAATTTTGCGGCAAAATATCGAAGTTTCCCTGGCAAAATCGGGCTTTGCCTAGCGCGGGCCAGGGTACCCCCGGCCAGGTCACGTCCACGTCTTCGGGCATTTGCATGATCTGATGCCTTTGAAAATTATTAGAGAGAAGTTGTAGTTAGTTTGAACATGTAGCGCGGCGCGGCGCTAGCTATATCGCTCGCGCCAAGAGTACTCTTGATAACCCCCTGGGGGTTATGTACGTCGTACTCTTGCTCGCACTAGCTGTACAGCATGCAGAAGTCGTCATTTGACGACTCCATGCTGTACAGTCTGTAGTACATGTACTAGTAGTTTTTTTTGTTTTTTTTTACTGAATACCACAGAACCATCAGATGCTGCGGGGGCGGTGGCATATTGGATGGAAGTAGTACAAATCATGTACATGTATGTAGTTTGTTTGGAGCAAGACTGCCCCCGGCCCTCGGGCCCCATTGTAGTATCCCTGCTTTACAGTTTACACATGACTAGGACGAAACAGTTCTGTCCGCAGATTGACTAGTAGTACATGTATTTTGCATGACTCTTATTGTTTAGACGCATACAGTACTTCCTACATTTACGATTGTTCTTCCATGATCCTTGCATGGCACCACTACACACTGGAGAGTAGCTAGACCAACACTAAAATTATTATCAGTAGTCTTCATTGTTTCCAAAATACAATACTTGTGCCGCTATGCTTCATTTGCAGTTGTATGGACTTATCTTCACTGCGATATCAGTTTCATGCTCCAATGCTTCCTTCGTAGCACTGAGGCGTGCTGCGATTAATCAATGGCATTTCCAGATTGCTTGCTACACTATCACATACTCTCTTTAGCTGTTTTGCTGCCTGCTGCTTGTTTCCCGCAATCAATGAGACACCAGCTGAAGCCTCCTAGCTGGCCCCCTTGCCAACGGCCTTGTTAGATTCTGTATAAGTTCTCTAGTTTGTATCTCATACGTTGTTGATTGAGAGCAAGTTCACTTAGGAATATTTGATATAAGATAACCTCCAGGCCGTGCCGGAGTAAGTTCTGAAACGTTCGTTGACTGACTGTGGGTAGTTGCCTCCTTGCCTTAGACCACGCACACTACATTGGTGGCAGCGGTGTGTTATGACTTTTTAAGTAAAACAACGTGATTCGACCTCACCATGGCCCAACCAGTTGCTCCTGCCCAAGCCGTCCGTCAACAGCCGTTGGTGATTCCGGAGAAGTTTTCCGGAAAACTATCTGACAATTGGCCCACCTGGCCCGCTCACTTTCAGCAGGTGGCTGCGTTCAATTTGTGGACGCCAGCCCAACAAGTGCAGTACATGGGCCTGGCCCTGACTGGTGATGCCCAGCTGTTCTACCAGTCGCTGCCAGTGGCCACACGCCAGGGCGCATTTGCGCCACTATCACAGGCATTGGCTGCCCGCTTTGCACCACCGCAACGCGGCGCCAGTCTCCACCGCGCAGAATTCAAGGTTCTGCGACAGGGAAGCCAGGCGAGCCTGTCTTCCTATTGTGAGGCAGTTCGACAAGCAGCCGTCTTGGCCTATCCTCAGATGCCGGGCCAGGATCATGACATCCTGACAAAGGACCAGTTTGTGGCCGGCCTAGATAGCCGCGCTGTCCGCATCCGTGTTAGGGAGCTGGCCCCGGACACATTGGACGCTGCACTGCAGGCCGCACTGCATCAACAAGCAATCCTCCATGCCGAAACGCCGGAGTCTCCGAGTACTCCGCTTCCTGTGTGTGGAGTGAATTCATCGCCGACGCAGCTGGACGCCATCACAACCGCGCTCCAGACCATTACCAGCCGCCTGGAGACGTTGGAACAGCGCCACAGTCCGCCAGGCCGTCACTCCGGCCCCGCTCCGCAGGACCAACGCCCACGAGGACCTCCGGTCACGTGCTACAACTGCGACCGGCCGGGTCACATCGCACGGTTCTGCCGTCTGCCGCGCCGATCCCAGCCGGGAAACCAGCGGACGCATCGAGCCTGAGCCCGGCCGCTGCGTTCCTCTGGACATGGGCTCATCCGCAGGTCGATCCTACTTGTCGGTTAGTTGGGCTTTTGTTTGTCTTCGTGACTTGTCTCTATCTTCTGATGCCCGTTTTCCTCGTCTTCAGCTATGTTTTGTTCTTGAGTGTTGCCGTTGTTAGTCTCGTCCGCTTCACGGGCATTCGCATTGGTACACATGTGTCTGACTGGGTGAATACGGTCGTGAATACGCTACAACTTATGCTTTCGCCACTCTGTGCTACCGTTGTTCCTGCTGTTTCTAAGTCCGTGCACGATCCCTTCCGTATTCCTGTTTGTGTTGAGAATGTTTCTGTTCATGCTTTAGTTGACACTGGCTCGTCAGTTACATTGATGAGCGAACGATTCTGGAGCAGCTTTCCTGATCGCCCCGTGTTGAGCGATGCCCCGCTTCAAACGATCGTGTCAGTGGATGGTACACCGGTCACTGTTTTGGGTAAGACCACTGTTCGCCTTCAGTTTGAACATGCCACTGTTCAGTACTCCATTCTAGTTGCCCGCATTCAGCATGATGTTCTCTTGGGTATTGATTTCTTTCGACATCACCGATGCATTATTGACCCTGTTCAGTCCACTGTCCACCTTCCTGACCCGCTTTGAGTCCACCCCAACTGCATCCAACTCTGCTGCGCCTGCTGCTGATCGTACACCGCAGACCATTCCTGTTTGCCATGTTTCCCTAGCCAAGTCTGTTACGATTCCCGCTTTGTCTCACGCCATTCTCCCTGGTCGCACACAGTCCACTATCCCGCTTGGTGACACATACTTCATGGAATCCAACGCATCCCTGGCTGAGAGGTACGATATGTTGTGTACTGATGTGGCTATTTCTGCTCCTACTGAGCCTGCTCCTGTTCCGTGCAGAGTGTTCAATTATTCTCAGGATCCTATCACGCTTCCCTCTGGTTCACGCCTTGGAAAGCTGCTGCCTTGCACTGTTGTCGACCACACACCGCCCACGCCGCTCCCGTGTGCTGCATCCAACAGTCCTCCCGAGCCTGAGCAATCGCAACCGAATCATCCCTTCAAGTTGGACCACTTACCTTCGCCGGAGAGATCATCTATCACGGACCTTCTGGTTGACTTCCAGGACTGCGTCTCGACTGGTCCATTCGATGTGGGTAAGACTGATGTTATTACACACAGTGTGCACACTGGCGATTGCCCACCCATCCGAATGGCACCCCATAGACTCCCTATCCATCAGAGTGAGGGAGTTCATCAACACATACAGGGTTTGCTAGAGCATGAAGTCATTGAGCCATCCCATAGTCCTTGGTCGGCCCCCATTTTTGTCGTCCGTAAACCAGATGGGTCAATCCGCCTGTGTGTTGATTACCGCCGTCTCAATAATGCTACTACCAAGGATGCCTTTCCTATGCCCAGGGTAGATGATGCAATTAATACCATGAAGGGTGCTCAATACTTTACCACGCTTGACTTAGCTTCAGGGTATTGGCAAGTACAGTTGGATGGGGACGCCCAAGAAAAGTCGGCCTTCACCACCCCGTTCGGCTTGTACCAGTGGAAATGCATGCCGTTTGGTCTCTGCAATGCTCCGGCAACATTCCAACGTTTGGTGAATAATGTACTGCGTGATCATCTTCAAAAATGCTGCTTGGTGTACCTGGATGACATAATCATCTTCTCTAGAACACTGAAGGAACACCTAGTCCATCTCCGGGCCGTCCTTGATTGCCTCCGTTCTGCCCATCTCAAGGTCAAACCCAGTAAGTGCTCTATTGCTCAATCATCTGTTCGCTACCTCGGCCATGTGTTCACGCATGATGGTGTTCACCCTGGTGTTTCCAAGATAGATGCTGTGGCCCAATGGCAACCACCTACTACAATTACTGAAGTCCGCCAATTTCTCGGCTTTGTTGCCTACTATCGTAGATTTATACGCGACTTCTCCGTCATTGCTGCCCCACTCTATGCTCTTACCCGCAAACACAGCTCTTTCTCCTGGCCATCAGACGCTGAACGTGCATTTCATCATCTCCGCCAACAGCTGATCTCTGCGCCAATACTCACCTATCCAGATCCAACTCAACCGTTCATTCTCGATACAGATGCAAGTGATACTGCCATCGGTGCGGTTCTATCCCAGGTC